AAGAATCTTGCTGACTGGCACAGTAATTTTTTAATGGACCATAAACCCCCACATCCAAGGGCTGGAGCTTATGTGAGCAGTGTGGTGGAAAGGAGAGTAACACTACATTATTGTCTTTGGCTGTTTCAATGACTTCAATATCCAAATGGAAGTATGATTGTCTAATAATAAGAGCACAGGATCGGATGGAGATGGTTTCACATTATCTATAAAATGTTTCATAAAAATTTTAAATTCTCGCCCTGTCATCCAGCCACTTGAGTTGCCTGCACCAATTGAACCAGGTGGTCCATCGCGAACAAAATATTCTCTATATTTAATTCGTGGAAAGATGAACATACAAGGCACCGAATTTCCCACTGCATTTACTGCGACGCAGAGAGTCACAAGAGTCCCTCTCTCGGCTGATGTAATTGAACCAACTTGTTTAGAACCCTTTGCAGCTAAAATTTTTCTGGGTTTCAGCACCGTGGTGACACCTGTCTCGTCCACATTCCATATACGTGATGCAGAAAATCTATATCTGTCTAACACGTCAGTCAACTTAGAAAAGAAATTGTCAACATTCGTTTTATTGAATGATGTGGCTCTGCTCAAGCTTGTAGCTTCTGGCGACCGTATAGATAAAGACGGGTTGCGTTTTAAAAACGCTGTCAGCCAATCTACACCTGCCTCTTTATTGTCAAGCCACGATTTTGGTATCGCAATATTGTGCTTTAGTGCGCAATCAAATGCAAGTTGTCTGACGTCTTTTGGAGTTAAGCCGTAATAAATTTGGCTACATTTAATCAAATAACTCACTAAAATTGCTTCCTGTTCACCACTGAATACTTGACGATTCTTCTTGTATCCTATTGTGAGTGATTCTATAGGTATACCCTTCTGTTTTGCATCTTTCCTTTTCCTCATATATCTCGTTAGCGACATATGACATAATCCGAAATCTTTTGCGATGCCACGAATTTTTTTTGACTCATCTTCCTCCAATATAACCGCGGCTTGTTCGTAAACATCTTTTGATATTTTGCCACGCTCCGTTTTTCTTTTATATGTCCTCATTCTACAAAAAAAAAACAATAAGTTATATGGTTTACATTATATCAGTTGGAACGAGAAATAAAGGGGCAGGTTGTGACAAGTAACAACCTACCCCGAGCAAATGTAACTTTTAACCCCGACACCAAAATTTATCTTTTGAGGTTAAGTAGTAAAAACACACATCATTATAATAATAAAAACGTATTCCAACGCAAAAAGGAAGCATTAAGACGCAAAAATTACACTACACGCTTCTCTGATTAGTTGAAATACAGGTAATATACCAATAATTACTAAAAATCGAAAATGTTACAAACCTGTGGTTTTATTGGCGACGCACACGTACTCCTGTCACAACAACTCTGGCGCTACTAGCTCTCGCATTGAGTGAGCCAGTAGTGGCAACGTCATTTTTCTCTTTCTAGCATTACTATATCGTTTTCTGTTTCGCCACCAGCGCCACTGTAACTACTTACCCCTGTCACAACCAGCCCCGGTCTCCCCTAAGTTTACTCCGTTCAATAGCTAAAGCATTTTTTTTTTTTTTTAAACTTTAACATCCAGTAGTGTCGCCAAAATGTCGCTTATACCAAAAGTCTTTCACCCCTCGATATTATTTATTAGGCATATGACATAATCCGAAAACTGTATTGGTGTTTGAATCGTCGAAAATATCATAATGATTATTCAAACAAACTCAAGATATAACTTTATGTAGTTATAATCGTTTACGACTAGAGAAAACCGAAGAAAATACTATGTTGCGTAAATAAAACATCGCCTGCCTGTCTTTTGATTCATCTTGGCAACGGGTACAGTACAATATTTACTTGTCTGTGCCCGCCGGTATTGACTCGAAAAGGATGAGTGCAACCCACAATAACAAGACGTTTGAATACTAGCACTAAAAGTTGTGGGAATGTTGTAGTGGTGACTGGGGTCCTATAAATTAAATACAAAAGAAGCACAGTCGCACCTCCCGCCACCGGAATTCATCCATACTATCTGAAGCCACTGCGTTCATCCACAGTGCGTTTCCAGAGATCTTTTTTGGCACATATCATCCGGCTTTAGAATGAGTTCCCCTCCAGTGTTTCTCGAGCACTATGACATGTCCTTCTTCAAACGAGGCTTGTGGAGAGTACTTAACGGTAGGCAGTGGCTTGGCTCTGCCCCTTGCATTGCTAAGCCTATGGACGACGGTAACCACTCACCATCAGGTGGGCCGTATGCTCGTCTGCCTACACGAGCAATAAAAATAAAAAGCTTAGCACTCCAATCTGATATTTAATGATATTGCATGTGTGGTAAGCTTGTTCATTGAAATTATCTATTATTATGTTGAAAATAGTATTCATTACGGCAGGAGCCCACATAAAAGTAGCATGGAAAAAGCCAAAAACCGTTACAGAACTCGTGACAGAAGTTTGTATTGAAAATAGTTTTGTTTTTTTCAGTCACTTTTTCTGACAATCTATTCCTAAGTTTTACAATAATTATTATGTGTTGTTAATACTTCAACATTTTGATACATTTCTGAATTATAGTGTTTTACTTTTTGTCATTTGTGCAGATTAGCTATAATTTAATATATAAAATTCTCGTGTCACGGTGTGCGTGATTGAACTCCTCCGAAACGGCTCGACCGGCCAGGGTGGAGAATCGAACAACATCTATTTTTCATACCCCTAAGTGATAAGGTTTGTCCCCCCCTAACATTTATTTTTTATTTTTTTAACATTTTTTTTTTGTTATAGTGAGGCATTATGTGGTTGAATGAGGTTTTGTTATAAATTTTTTTCTACACTAGAAATTCCCTAGAAATCTTATATATGGCAAAACAACGTTTGCCGGGTCAGCTAGTTATAATATAATTAGCACAAAAAATGTAACTTTTAAAAAAGCCTATTATTATACTTATCATCATTTGATAACATTACAGCTCATCAATGGGTATTAAACAAAAAATAATAATGTTTTCTTTGCTTATCTAAATATATTTTTGTAAGATATAGTTCAGAGAGATTAATTCATCAGTGTACTAGTATGAAACGTCATATGCCTGGTTCTGTTTAGAGAAATATACACGGTTGTGTATGATAATTTTTCAATGTTTTACCTCTGAGTTCGTAAATTTGGTTTAGTAGTAATATAGGTTATATGCACAGTAAGCACTGTAAGGTGTGATATCAGTTTAGTATACTTTGAAGCCTTCCTTTATAACATTCCTATATAGTTAGCCCGGTCACTGTCCTCGCCAAACCCGTTGCTTGCGACGAATGGCTCAATGAGTAAATTAACCCATAGACAAAGCCCACTGAGTTTCTCGCCGGATCTTTTCAGTGGGTCGCATTTCCAATCGGGTGGTAGATTCTGCAAAGCACTGCTCTTGCTAGGGCCAGTGTTAGCAACACTTCCAGTTTGAGCCCCGTGAGCTCACTTACAAGTTAGGGTGAAGTTAAAATAGCCTCTCAAGGCTATCAGCATAGGCAGAATATATATATATATATATATATACATAGTTAGCTAAGTTACTGTTTAAAACGGAACTGATTACAATATGCTTACTATCATTGAGATTTTGTGTTATGTTCCCTTAACAAAAAAAATTTTGCTCAAATTTAATTATATTTGAAAATTGAATATTCAATTTAGTGTCAGTTAAATTTATACATATTATAATTAAGTGTACATTTTAGTAAAAAAAAAAATTGCTTTTCAAGCAATTTAATGTGTAGTAAAGGTGATCATGTAATTAAAGCATTGAAAGCAATTTATCTCAAATCAACAGTGTTCATCGTAGAAAAATGGCGATGATTTATGACATCATATATTTTCCTAAGATGGGATAGGATTCATCATATAAGACTGTATACTGTCAGTCCATGACTGAATGAATAACTCCCCAACAAGAGCAGTGATTAGTGCACACAGTATATTTTGAAACATAGCCATAGGAAGAAAAATCATAGCAGGCAACATTATAGTTACAGATTTAAAAATAATTAATAATATTTAAGGAAAATATTATGAATGCTACATTCATGAGTACTCTTATAAGTAAATATACTTTAAACAGAATTTCCTGAAATCTGAAGTCCAGTGGTCACTAGTTAATCTACAGATTAGTATCTCATTTTATTACTATTAAAAGGGCAAAATATAAAAAATGGTTCTGCTCTCTCTTAATTACATCTTAAGCAGCTTGTTTCTATATGTTATAATTTATTAGTTACCAAAGCATTTCAAAATTCTCAATTTGAAAACCTGCAAAATAGTATGCAAAATAAACAGTCATCAATCAAGGTACATTCTTCGAATCTCACTTTATATTATTTCTTTAAGACCTTTACCAATAAATTCGTGTGTAAGGAAAATCAGCTGACACTGTGTCATCATTATTTAATTTCGTACAAATATATAAATATCATAATGTGCATCAAATTGTCGTATGCTAGGATTTAATTTCAGATGTAAATACCTATTAGATACTTAATTAAAGGTAGTATGTATGTACGTGACTCTTCATTGTTATTGTATGGCCGACGAAAAATTATGTTAAAATTATCTGAATGTACACTGCTACACTGTAACTAAACATAGTAGGAAGCCATTAAAAACATTGAAAGCGCATATTATAAAATTGCTTATGATGAATATCACGTAAAATCTGAATAATTCAGAATATTTCTTGTACAAATTACTAAAACTACGGTTGTCAACCATGACTATTTTTTAATGTAGACTGTACGATCTTATCCATGTTATAGCTAATCAACATCATGTGATTAATTTTTATTATTTGAAATCATGTTTTCCATTGACAATATTGCAAGGAAATTAGAAATAAACGAAAACAAGAGTTCCCAGTACGCAAATATGGCGGCCACATACTGAACTTCGGGGACCCAACAGCGTCGTATTAAATCATACAATCTTTCACTTATTAGAATAAACCTTACCTTATAAAACTCGATAAGATGTGTTTTTCCCTTTAGGACGCTTGTTTGAATACTTTTCACGTCTTTTCCATCATTTGTAGAAGTCATTTCTCACGGAAATATCGCGGGGAGACATTTATGCACTTGTGTTTTCGTGATGGAACTGTCAAATGAGTATTGCAAGATTGCAAATTGCAAATCGCAACAATTAACTTAAAATTCATTTTTTGTTATTGTTACATTCATAAATTATTTATATTTCAAAACATTTACAAAAATTGAACATATAATTCCAACTCGTTAATTACCTGAATAGTAGAACCGGCAATAGGTGAACTAGGCAGCGGCTTGGCTCTGCCCCTGGCATTGCTGAAGTCCATGGGCGACGGTAACCACTCACCATCAGGTGGGCCGTATGCTCGCTGCCTAAAAGGGCAATAAAAAAACTTCCATTGTCTCAGACAGAACTTATTTGAAAATAATAAAAACATCTTACGATTATTTCAATTTCTCTACTTTTCTTTAATCCGCCATTTGGCCTTTTTTTAAGCATCATTCAATTATCATCATTTTGTAGCCATATGAGAAACATAGATTTTTTAGCTAATTTTGGTTTCTAGATAATAATCTGGAGGATGGTATAAGTTAATTAGGAGCTTATATTTAAATTTGTATCTAAACCGAAGAACGCTTTCTATCTCAGAACTTATGTAACTACTGTATTCTCAAGGTATGGACTAATGAGTCTACGAGATACTTGATGTTCCTAATCGTCCGTGCGACTTGTTCCTCAGTGCTTGACGGTCGTAACCTTTACAGAGCACTTTTGTTAAGATTATGGTCCTCCATTCCTTTCTGTCCTCCGCGCAGTGGATAGCGATATTCATGCTGGAGTCCAAAGTCGTCTTGATCTGATTGGATCAGCGCATGGGACTACGCCCCATAGGGGTCATAGGCCTCTTTCCTTCCACTTTGCCAGTGATGAGTAGTCTCTATCTATCTATCTTGTAACTATACTGAGATCTTAGAACTTATATCTCAAGATGGATGGCGCATTTACGTTGTAGATGTCTATGAGCTCCATATGGGACCCTTTTCCCTCGCAACGTGACCGAAAAACTCGAATATCCTACGTAGGCAAGTGGTTAAGAGTCTTTTGGAGACGCCTAGTTCTTCCAGGATTGATGCGTTTGTCCAATGTGCCGTCTAAGGAAATATTGAATGTGATGTTCCTACGTGCAACTTAATATTGCTACGAGCCACTTGACATGAGTACTTAAGGAGAAATGGTCGTGATTGACATATCTTTAGTGACGAGTACTACAACCCGGCGTGAACCCTCTCTTCAGGCTATGCATCTGATGCTAACATGTAGGGCGTAATCTCATGTAATGCATATATCCTACATAGGTTCTGTACTAAACTAATTAAAATAAAATTAATTAATTAATTAAATAATTCTGTACAAAAATCTACAGCCTACACATAAATGAAAAGTGATTACCTATCCTTTTTCAGTATGGCAATCGGCTTCTTGAGAGGACATTATTGCCAGCATCGAGTTTATAAAACATACTCGTCATTTTTTAATTTGTGAATTGAAAAATGAAATTGAATATTATTGATAATGAATTGAATAATGAAATTGAATTTTGAAGTCGTCGTGGCCTAAAGGATAAGACGTCCGGTGCCTTCGTATCTAGCGATGCACCAGTGTTCCAATCCCGCAGGCGGGTACCAATTTTTCCAATAAAATACGTACTCAACAAATGTTCACGATTGACTTCTACGGTGAAAGAATAACATCGGGTAATAAAAATCAAACCCGCAAAATTATTATTTGCGTAATCACTGGTGGTAGGACCTCGCGTGAGACCGCACTCCGCCTATTTCTGCCGTGAAGCAGTAATGCGTTTCAATTTGAAGGGTGGGGCAGTCGTTGTAACTATACTGAGACCTTAGAACTCATGTCTCAGGGCGGGTGGCGGCATTTGTGTCGTAGATGTCTATGGGCTCCCGTAACCATTTAACTTCAAGTGGACTGTGAGCTCGCCCATCCATCTAAGCAATAAAAATAAAGTAAAAACTAAACTAAGGAAATGTAAATAAACTGAGTTCGTACCGGTAGGTATCACCACTCTGTCTATTTTTAGGTTTAAAGAGTGGAGCAGCCGTTGTATTGTAAAAACTAAGGCCTTAGAACTCATTTCTCACGCTTTACATTGTTGAAGTCTATGAGCTCCAGTAACCACTTATCATCAGATGTATCGTCCATCGATGTGGGCCATAAAATATAAAAATATAATTAAACTTGAACCTGAAATGAAATGGAATGAAACGAGATGGAACCAAAACTTTAATGAAAAAACCTAAGAAATCACTTCCGGGAGGTTTGTTTACTTTTCTCACACTTTTGCAGTAGCATGGATGGATACCAGGTGGTTGAAGAGTTACCTTATTAGGAGTTAGTTAGAAGTAACAAGAAATTCATAAAATAAATTAATCCACTCAAGCTTGACAGCTAGTCGTCTGATAGCTTAGTAAGAAGATGAACAATGGAATCTTTAGGCACTTTCTCAAAGCATTCTGTGACTGCATAGCAGACTTTGTAGTAATACCATCACAAAACAAAGAAAATTGAGAGGGGCTAAAAGTCTTGTAACCAATAGCCGTAAAAAAATAAAAAATTAAAAGCTAAGAAAGCGAGTTGTGTCAAGAATTTTGCGTTTTTAGTTAGAAATCATTTAGAATTAAAGGAAAATGTAAAGAAATCAATATACAAAAGTTTCAACATGTAAGTTTAAATGTGACATGTGACATAAAACTATGTTAGCTCATAGAAAGAATAATTCTAAAACGCAATAATTCGTGTCTCAAAGGGCAGGCTAATAGAAGGGATGACGGTTTTTATTGCTTTTTAATTATTAAATGATAGTGTTTTTTGGTCAAAGTCAACGATTTTCATGTTCAATAATTATTATCTAAAATGTATAAGACGTTTGTTTCGATATAGTGAAAAGGCGTCATTTTAACATAATCGGCACATCTGGCAAAAATTATGATTGATGAGTCCTTACATGCAGTTACGAGTTTGTCTTGTTGTTAAACTTGTTACATCAATTCTGTTATGATTATTTCGTTAATCATAAAAACCTAATTTTATCATAAACTAATACATAATTTTTGCATGAATCTCATTGTTTGTAATATTAATATTATTGTTAACAATTTAAGGGCTACTAGATTATTAAACATTCTAAGATTGACATATTTTGTTTTAGTGTTATGAAGAATGTTACGAAAATTTTGAAAAAGTTCTTGTGATCAAAGTGTGTGATAAATTCTGGGAAGATGGCTAAAAAATCTGATAATACTGGCGGGAAGCTGGTTACCATATCTGTAGTTGGTTTGTCTGGTAAGTGCAATTTAATATTCTTAAATAGTTGTAATATAGGTTAAAAGAAGTGATTAAGAAGTGTTCTCTCAATCTTGTTTTTATTTGAAATAAAAATTCATTGTTGCTTGAGTGCCCTAATATATATAAAAAAAGGGTTTTGTTTTATAGTTTTATGACCAGATTTCCACTGCAATATACATACTTAAGAGCTATATTTTATTGCTAGTGTCCTTATCATCTTTAGTTTGCATCAATTTGGTTTGTTTTCATAACTTTACCTGGATTTCTTTATATGCTCTTTAAAATACAATAAAGTATGGAGTATTTTTGATAGGAAAACATTTTGTTGATGTTTTATATAAGTTCTCGACAATTTAAAAAAATAACTACCACTTTCATTCTGTTTAATTTCACCTAAATTTATCAATTTCTAAGTTCTTTGTTAAAATACCAGACTATCCAGACATTAATAATAAAAACAATTTAAAGACTAGTTATAAAAATAAGGTTTCAATACATAAAAATATTGATCCAAATCACTATTTTATATGAACTGAACATGATTTATGCTTTGATTGAATTACTAGGTAAAATTTTGTGCCTAGTTATTTTGTGTTACTCTATATATCATGGTTATCATACCTTCAGGACCTGAATTGTTTCATACATACTGCAGATTAATCAACTGAATTTTGTAAAAAAAACATATTACAAGTATACATCATTGATATGTTTACATGTATCAAATAAAACTGAAAACTAAAAAAATAAAAAAAGGTTCTTTTGAATGATATTGTATTGTTTTGAATGTTACTTTGTATAATATGAAATGATTAGATGTAAATGGTTCCTTTGAGATTTTTTTTTATTGCTTGGGTGGATGGATGAGCTCACAGCCCACCTGGTGTTAAGTGGTTACTGGAGCCCATAGACATCTACAAACGTAAATGCGCCACCCACCTCGAGATATAAGTTCTAAGGTCTCAGTATAGTTACAACCGTGGTTACAACGGCTACCCCACCCTTCGAACCGAAACGCATTACTGCTTCACGGCGGAAATAGGCGGGGTGGTGGTACCTACCCGTGCGGACTCACAAGAGGTCCTACCACCAGTGATTACGCAAATTATAATTTTGCGGGTTTGGTTTTTATTACACGATGTTATTCCTTCACCGTGGAAGTCAATCGTGAACATTTGTTGAGTACGTATTTCATTAGAAAAATTGGTACCCGCCTGCGGGATTGGAACACCGGTGCATTGCTTCAACACGAATGCACCGGACGTCTTATCCTTTAGGCCACGACGACTTCCAATTTACAGGAACAGGTCAATAGTTTTTATGAATGATGTTATAAAACTCTTAGTTAATAATTACAACTACATTTATGTCTGTGCCTTCAAAAACTTTACAGCATTTGAAATATCAATAATAAACTCGTGATTAGTAAAAGTATTATAACAGCAAAGAAGCATGTTTTCTCTTTACTGTGTGATAGATTTTGTTCCCAATAGTCCGCAACCCTGACTTGTGCACTGAGGGTTGTAGGTGTGATGCTCACATTCAAAATAATAGGCTAGACTTGACTTTTTTGGAGTAGAGCAAAATAAGATTGAACAAAAAATAACACTAGTGCATAATTTCCAATGTTCCCCAGGAACGAGCTTTTTAATAGTAGAGATGACAAGCACTGGCATTCACATCCATTGGGTGTCAAGATTATTGATATCCATAGACCAAAAAGTGAATAGTGAAAAATGAAATAGGGCCACAAGCGTATCAAACTCAGTTGCATCAGACTAAGACCTAATATATTTGAATTTAAATTAATTACTCTTATCGGAACAAATAGGTAGAATGCTGGTCCATGCAAAATGTGCAATGTGACGAAAATGATTGGACATGAAACTATAATTTGTGATACTGCTGATAATATACTGAGACTTATGTCCATCCACATTTAGATGGGATTGTAGGCACATAACACATTTTAACAAACAAACATAATGAAATTTTAATATTCTCAATATTAATGTAACTTAATCATATTTCATTATGAGATTATGTTGTTTTAAATTTAAATTATGAAAATTGAAGCATAGGCACACATACATTGTAGATAAATGCCTTGTATTATGCAAGAGAGGTTTTGTATCCAGCAACAATGCTGTCAATTTCTAAATAAGGAGAGCAACAATTGATTTCAACATTTCTAATTGAAAGGAAACTTAGTGCATTTGTTATGGTAATTTTGTTGTGTGCTTAGTACTTGATAGTGTTGCAAGTACAGTAATTGTTGGAAATATACTTGAACTGAATTAATCTATGTATTGCGGTTGAAAATAATATTAAATAAAAACGTTCACATTCTCATTAGATGTAGAAATTAAATTATCCAGGTCGGAAAATGGAAACATTTTTAATGATGTTGTAATTTTGAAAAATAATTTAGATACACCATAAAAAATAAAAATGTTTTTCAAAGTATACCCACATTTAGTCATGACTTCAACTCATTTACTTTTAAAAGTAATAATGTATTTAATTGATTTTTCCCCAAAATTGATTCAGATGCATAATGTAGTTGAACTTGTGTGAGTTTTGGAAAATATAATCACATCTGAACATATTGTGATTGTCCTTAATCTATTGTTATATTGTCATCAACACCATTTCCACATCTAAAGTTTGTGTGCTCAAAAAACTGTTTGTATTGTCAAGAGTAAGTTGATACACTTATGATATGAATCATATCTGAATAATTATGATTCTATGTATTAATGATGTTATCATTTATTTTCATAAAATTTAACATCTGTTTAGATAATCCCATTATTTGAATGTTATGAAACAGAGATTAACATATAAGTTTTTTTCCTAAATTTTAGAGGGCAGTTTACTAGCTAAAATTTAGGCCAGAATTCTACCAATTTGTTGTAATAGACTATTATGGCTTATTTAGTAGGAGCATATATAGCAATGTATACATACATTCACTGTTACAACTGAGTTTGAAATTTAATTTGTATTAAGATGGCCTAACCTTATAAACTGGAATTTACAAAAATAGAGATTTACAGTGGTTATTGCATTGGACCTATTCAAACTTTCCAGAATTTATTCTGACTTGTTAAGTATTTAAGGAATCTATTGTTGAATTTACTCACCCAATCTTATCAATGGTCCTGAAATATTCCTTGAAATGCTAATGGCAACTAAAGAAAGTTTAACTGGGCAAATCAAGGACCTAAGAACATGAGGCAATAACTCACATATATTAATTTGAATAATGATAATGAATATATTAAATAATATAAACTTCACCGTTGTTGGGTTGCACATTGTGTAATATGAATTATGAAAAAGAAACACTGATTAAAAATGATCTTGATCGTGAAAAATAAGCTGGTCCTCAGCTAGACGTTCACGCTCCCTGTATACCTCTACCTCTACCTCTACCTCTTGGTGCAATAATTCACTTCGGTCTAATTCAATGTCACTGTTTAAATACATTTCATTCTCATATTGAATTTTCCACTTAATGAACATAAGTTCAATCCAAAAGTTCTAATAGCTATTAAATAAGAGATGTAATACTTTAATCGTTTCTTAACTTATTTAAATAATATCGTTATTAAATCAACATGTCTCTCATTTTTTAAATAAATGCAAACACATCATAATAATATAATTCATTCACTTTTTAAATTTCATATATTTTTTTAATGTATACTATATTTTTTATTGCTTAGATGGGTGAACGAGGTCGCAGCCGACCTGATGTTAAGTGGTTACCGGAGCCTATAGACATCTACAACGTGAATGCGCCACCCACCTTGAGATATAAGTTCTAAGGTCTCAGTATAGTTACAACGGCTACTTCATCCTTCAAACCGAAACGCATTACTGTTTCACGGCAGAAATAGGCGGGGTGGTGGTACCTACCTGTGCGGACTCACAAGAGGTCCTACCACCAGTTATCGGTAGATTTCAAGATAATTTAGAGTCTTCGTTCGAATTTCAAGGAATAATTTGTCTTATTTAAGGTACGGAAAAGGAGAAAGGGCAGCTAGGCGTGGGCAAGTCATGCCTCTGTAACAGGTTTGTTCGAACCCACGCCGATGATTACAACGTCGATCACATTTGCGTTCTAAGTCAGGTAAGTGTTACCGATGCTTTCGCAGAATATTTGAGTCGACTATTATCAAAGCCGGCAATCTGACTTTTGGACAATGATTGGTAAATCAGAAAAACGAATTATTGACTTTGTATTCCATTCGCAGTCACAAAACTCTTCGGAACGACATCTTAGATAAATAACAGGTTAACTATTAACCTTTATTTAGTGCAGGTTTTGAACCGTATTCTTTGAAGGAGACGATTATATTCAAATCAATCTGTATTGACATATCAATAAAAATTTTTTGTCCAAATGTACAGATTGCCGCCTTTGATAATAGACGACTCATTTTTAGTTGAATGAAGCGTCACTACATAGTATAAGACAAAGATATATCTGTCCCTATGTATGCTTAAATCTTTAAAACCACGCAACGGATTTTGATAGCGTTTTTTTTAATAGATAGATTGATTGAAGAGGACGGTTTATATGTATAATAACATCCATTAAATAGTGGAGAAATCAATAATAAATTACAGTTTCCGAAGCGAAGCGAGGGCGGGTCGCTAGTTTATTATATCGAGGGGCGAAAGGCTGTTTGGTTTAAGCGACATTTCTGCTTAACACTCGACATCTGTCTTTGTAATTGAAGGTCCGTTGTATTTGGTATTAGCATCAACGATTCAATGTTTTTAATCGAACCTCAATTAAGTTTACTCCCTTCATATAGACGAAGAAGTTTTTTTTGTTTTCATATTTTTTCCAAATTTTAAACTTTAAATGGCTCTTCTGTGAAGTTGTGAAAATGTCCCTTAAACCAAATAGCTTTTCACCCCTTGATATTGTTTTGTGTTTAGAGTTGAAGGATTACTAGTAGCCCGGAGGCCTTTCAAGTTTCACCAAGATAGATAGGCGAGCAAAAGCTCAGCTAGGAGTGGTGGGATTTGCTCAAAACTCAAAAGCAGCTCCTTCGCGAATGAATCTACTACCGAAACGGAATCGCAACCAGCTGAGAAGTTCCGGCGAGAAACTCAGCGAGCTGATGCATGGATTAAGTTGCGGTTACCGGGGTCCCTAAGCCTGCTCCTAGTGTTAGAGCTGAAGGCGTCTATTGCAAAGGCTAGTGGATCTGATGAATCCGTAAGGACGTGACGTGATATTACGACATCTCCATATTAGAAGCGGACGGGGACCCCTCAGACACAGCCCACTGAGTTTCTCGCCGGATCTTCTCAGTGGGTCGCGTTTCCGATTCGGTGGTAGATTCTGCGAAGCACGGCTCTTGCTAGGGTTCGTGTTAGCAACGTCATCAGGTTTGAGCCCCGTGAGCTCAGCTACTAGTTAAGGCGACGCTGATATAGCCTCTCAAGGCTATCTGCATAGGTAGGGGGAAAAAAAGGACTGGAAATACTTGATTAGGCTATATGACAATACCGGTGTGCGTCCTACAACATCATGATGAACACGTGTTTGTATGTTTCAGTCGGATTTCAGCGGGCGCGTTGTGAACAACGATCATTTCCTGTACTGGGGCAACGTGCAGAAGGAGAACGACGATCAGGAGTACAGGTTCGAGATAGTCGAGCAGACCGAGTTTGTGGACGATGCGTGCTTTCAGCCGTTCAAAGGTGAACTTCACTTAAATTTGAAATAATAATAATAATATCCAGCTGGGTTAGGGGCCTGATACAGAAGGGAGTTATCCTCGATACTGCGCGCATTGTGAGGAGTTTTCTCACGCTGGAGTTCTAACTGGATGTGGCTTGTGTCGGAGACACCGCCATCAGCGGAAATATATTTTTATATAAAGTTTTTTAAAAATAGTGTATAATTAGTAAGATTTTAAATAAATATAGATTATAATAATAATATACTTAAAGATTAAAATCGACTGAACTCATAATATCGTTAATTCGATTAATGTTATTTAAATTGTGTCTGGTATTTTTGAATTTGAATTTGAATATGTATGTGTATAATAAAATCTTACATTTATATCCGTTATCTGGTACCTGTAATACAAGCTCTTTATGAACTTATCACGGGACCAGTTAACGTGGCGTGATTTTTAGTAAATATTTATTTATTATTTATTATTATTATTATTATTATTATTTTAAATATACAAAATAAATATATCATTAGCTATTGCGTTTGCTATTCAACAAAAAAAAGCGCTGAATTTGTTTCGCTGATTATTCTGCTCTTGGAATTTGCAGCAGAGATGACCTTGAACTTTTTAAATGATATAAATAATTGATTTTTTTTTGTAGTTGGCAAAACTGAACCGTACGTGAAGCGATGCGTCGCCACGAAACTCCAGTCGGCCGAGAAATACATGTACGTGTGCAAGAACCAGCTCGGCATAGAGAAGGAGTACGAGCAGAAACTGATGCCGGAAGGGAAGCTCACCGTTGACGGGTTCATGTGTGTCTATGACGTCAGTCTGGTGCCGGGGAGGACTTGGGAGAAACAGGTATGATTGATGTAACGTTTTGTTTTGTTAGTTTTGGTTCTGGAGTCATCATAGCTAGATTGACGTGTCGCTTTTTTTTCCTACCTATTCTAGTAGTAACTTTGATGGGTTATTCTAGATTCTGAGCTAGTACGTCCTATTCTAGTAACCTTGAGGGGTTATTCTAGATTCACCGAGCTAGTAGAGGGCTCAAACTGGGCGTGTTGCTAAAACTGGCCTTAGCAAGAACAATGCTTCGCAGAATCTACCACCGGTTTGGAAACGCGACACACTGAGAAGATCCTTCGAGAAACTCAGTGGGCTGTGTTTATGAGTTAATTTACTCGTCGAGCCCTTCAGCACAGGCGACGGGTTCGCCGAGGATGGTGACCGGCACACGTCGCGGTTTTAAGGACAGCAATTATAAGCGAAATTGACTTCGGTCAAGGCTGCCGGCCGCTTAGAACAACATTCCCATCTCATCCCATGAGTGTCGTAAAAGGGGTCTAGGGAATTATCGGAAAATGTGAACAGTGTTCTTTGTGTATAATCGTCCTTGCGTCGTATTCCTCATTGCTGAGGGTCGTGACCACCCTTTTGTATCACCTTCGCACGCACGATCTTGTATAATACCGGCATGCTTCATGCGATAATTGGCTGTTACGGGTAGTATTGTAATCCCATGCGAGGGGGTCTCAGCACTCTGCCTATTTATGATTCAAAGCAATAGTAGATTGGAGCTTTTAAAGTGGGATAGATAGAACTTAAATTTAGATATCATCTCTCAAGGTTGGCGGTGGCATTGTGATGTCTATGAGCTTCTATAGCCACTGAACATCACGCGGGCCGTGAGTTCGTTGACCTATCAGCACAATAAATAAAAAAGTTCAAAATGAAATGGGCCCTTAACTCCTCAGTCGCCTACAGCGTTGCTTTCTCACTGAACGGTCGAAGGATCACTTGAACGGTCGATTCCTTCTTTTGTCGTCTTACATGAGAACGGTCAATTCGTTCCTTGTCGTCTCGTTTGTGTCCGCCTTTTAAGAAGTCAAAAAATGTACTGGCTGCCGCTAGTCACGTACGCCCTCGTTCCATTTCTCTCTTTATTTTTGAATTCTTGCCAAATCTCTATGTCCAGTCGTTGTAGGTCTTATGTCCTGTCAAAGAGGTTTCACGCCACGACACTCACACATACGTGACAAGTGTATATTTATAATTGTTACAGAACGAAATTATAGCGGCCATATTGCAGAATATAATCAAGCTCAAGAAGCCGGTTGTACTGGTGACTACGAAAAACGATGAGGCTTGCGACCAGGGAGTCCGGGAGGCCGAACGCTTAGTTCAAAGGAAAGAGTTCAAAGGTTCCATACCGATAGTGGAGACGTCCAGCCACGACAACGTCAATGTGGACCAAGCGTTCTTCCTGCTGGCCCAGATGATTGATAAGTCGAAAGCGAGGATCAAGGTGAGTTGTAGTATTAGTGTAATACCACATGATCTACTGGTGGTATGACGTCTTGTAAGTCCGCGCGGGTAGGTACCACCGCCCTGCCTATTTCTGCCGTGAAGCAGTAATGCGTTTCGGGTTGAAGGGTGAGGCAGCCGTTGTACTGATATCATTGAAATCATATCTCAAGGTGGATGACGGCATTTGCGTTGTAAATGTCTATGGGCTCCGGTAACCACTTAACACCAGGTGGGCCGTGAGTTAATCCACCCATCTAAGATAAATAAAAATAAATAAAAATATTAAAAAAAATATATATTTAAGATAAATAAAAATATTTTAAAATAAAAAATATATTTGTAAATTACATAAAAATATTTAAATATTTTATAAAAAATATATTTATGACTTAGATTGGTGAACGAGCTCACGGTCCACCTGGTGTTAACTGGTTACCGGTAGCGGTTACCGGAGAAAAGACATGATATTCAGAAATTTAATCGTAATGATTAATTTGAATTTAATCGATGTTGGAGCGTACACCCACTGTACGACCCACCAGCGCACTCCTTAGTTTCATTAATGAATTATACTCGTATATATTATACATAATATGAGAAAATTCTGAACAGTTTGGTCTTGTAAAGGTGGCGAACTACGCGGAGGCTCTGCGCATAAGGCGGGAAACTTTGGACTTCGTGACGGAAGCGTTCACTCAGCTCATACGGATACACGTCGAGGATCATAAGTGAGTGTTACGTCTAGTCGCTTGTATACACATATATAGCACCTTTAGAATTGAAGTAGCTTCCGGCTTTGGAATGAGCTCCCCTCCACTGTGTTTCCCGAGCGCTATGACATGTCCTTCTTCAAACGAGGCTTGTGGAGAGTACTTAACGGTAGGCAGCGGTTTGGCTCTACCCCTGGCATTGCTGAAGTCCTTGGGCGACGTTAACCACTCACCGTCAGACCGGCCGTGTCCCCGTCCGCCTACTAGGGTAACAAAAAAAAAGAAAAAAAGTGGCTGAACTAAACATTTATCCTACTATCAGCTAATAAAATAAAATTTAAATTTTAGTCTAAAAAAGGACAAAGTACGCTTTCCTTCAAGCACGTACTTTAAACTTTAAGGAGTGCGCTTTAAGGCTTAAAACATTAAAATCGAAATTGAAAGAAAAAAAAACAATTTTTAATTACATCTGATCAGCAATGTCTTGTTTCCCTTGAAATTTCAATAATCTATATCTTGAAGAAAACAGACAATTAATTTCTTTCATTTGTTTTCCTTCAGAGAATTATGGTCTTCTGTGAGCAAGAGGCTTTGTCATCACGCGGAGTGGATTAAGTTTGTTCAACAGTTTGGGAATGATGGTACTCAAGTAAGTGCTTTGTGAATTTATTTAGTAATATACGATCGTACGAAATATGAACTTATTTATAACGCCCAATGTTCGAAATACTCACAGAATAATTTTTAACTTTTGGAAAATTTAATATTTCAAATTTTATTTATTTATGACAATAACTTAAAGCTCCTCAATAGCAAACCTGACGAAACAAATAGAAAAAAATATCTTTTTGAATTGCTTGGTCAATATATTTATGCTCAACTCACTTATTCAAACTCATATATGTAATACATATTATGTATATATGAATACGTGACGCAAAAACTTTGTACCCCCTTTTACGAAAATTGCGCGGACGGAGGAGTATGAAACTTCCCACATTTATAGAGAATATAGAGAAAGAGTGCAGAATGTTAATATTATTTTTAATTATGCATAAAAAATACATGAAATCAATAAAAAAACATTACACACACTACCATGTTTTTGACACGCAAGGCATGCATACTATTTGTTTAATGTCAAACTTTTGTTATTGCTTATAGTCTGTGGTCAAATTGAGAATAGATTAAATATTGTTTGTCTCTAATAATATTTGTATAAAGTGTAGTCTTGGCGAAATCTGTGATATCTTTTACAATAGAATAATCTCTTCTTAGTCGCATACTTCATTGCTGATGGTCGTGTCACTGAAAGCCTTTAGAATCATATAATGATAATGGTAATAATGTCAAAATATCATAATGGATAGAATCATAATGGTGTACTAATTTATAATTTAAATAAATTTATAGTCGAATTTCGACTACCGAGGGATCACTAATATACTTAATTTACTTACTTAAATTACTTATATTATTCTTTGCCCTTCATGTTCTGTTGTGACAGTTCGTTGACATGTCCCTTGGCAGGTCGTGTTCCGTCGGCACGTGCGCCGCCTCAAGGAGGAGCGCTCTGCGAAGAAGCTGCGGAACCAACTCGCGAAGCTGCCTCAAGTGCTGGCGAGACTCCAGCTGCCCACCGAAGAACTACAAGAGAAGTTAGTCTTCTTAAACAATTTAAAAAAAACAGCTGTCAATATTTTTTATCGGTCTTTAAATTTGGATATTAACTGATTGAATATGTAATGACCTTATTTTTTTATTATCCCTTTAGGTTATGGTAGCTTTGACATTTAATTTAATTTTTTGTTTTATTATCATCATTATTTTTATTATATTCCGAATGTGTAGTTATTGTTTTTATTTAATTTTGATGTGCTATATGAAATGTTATTGTTTATAAATGTAATATGGATGCAAAATCTGAAGTAAATGAAATAAATAAATAAATTGCTATCAAACGGTGCGCGTGCAACTTTGTGCACGTGAATGAAGTGAAACTTCTTTTTCGATGTGTAGTATTGTGGTGTTCTTCATTTTTCATCCTTAAATCAGATTGCTCTTGTAATAGGGAATGCTGTGCTATAAGAGATGCGACATCTTCAACATTTATACATATCATGTATATTTTAAATTATAGATTGAAAAATAAATTTTCTTTTTAAATAGTTCATAAAAATATTGAACGCTATTCGTTGCTATCGCTCGCGCTGGCTTGCAACAGGTCTACTACGCGCATGCGTTAGAGTGCCACGCGTTCACTCTCTCTCTGTCTCTTTCTATTCCGTGGTAGCGTTAAACGTTTAACGCTACCTTGTTGGAAGTCGCATTAGAAGTTTCACTTCAAAAGTATATTGTATACAATTCAATCCGAGGTAGGGATTTGTTGTAACATGGTCCTTAATGTTGATCGTTACGGATTGTTTTCCAGCGACTGGCCGGTGGTGGTGCGGCAGCTGCGTCTGCACCGCGACTTCTCGGTGTACTTCAGCGAGGGCCGCGGCGCCGACTCGTGCTCCGAGACCGGCTCCGAGCTGGACAGCCCCCTCGCCATCGACACCACGCTGCGGGTCGGCGAGAGGGCTCGCTATCAGGTGCACAAACAAACTCTCACTGGTTAACCGTTTTAGTGCTGAGCTTATATTCATATATATTGTAGGCAGCGGCTTGGCTCTGCCCCCGGCATTGCTGAAGTCCATGGACGACGGTAACCACTCACCATCAGGTGGGCCGTATGCTCGTCTGCCTACAAGGGCAATAAAAAAATATGCAGAAATAGCTAAAGGATTTTTGAAAAATAATGATTACATTAATCAATGTTAAATTCACAGAAAAATAATTTTAATTTTTTTTTATTGCCCGACCAGGCATACATTCAACTAGGCATAATATAAATAAAATAGAAAACACCATAATAAACCCTTATTTTAAACATACTAATACATAATATTTTTATGTCGTATATTTTATTAGCTATTTTCATGTGCTTATAACTTGTATTTACTATCCTATTCCAAATATACAATACATTACTGTCGAAACTGTGACCTGTGATTGCACATAAACTTAATGAGCTATCCTAATAACGGCCGTCTGGTGTAGTGGTAAGTGACATGGTCACTACGCAAGGCGGTCGCGGTTTCAAATGCCGCCAAGGGAAGATATTTGTATGATAAATATAAAAAATGTATTTTCCAATGCTATAGATGTATATTAAATATCTGTATGTGTATAATAAAAATCGTACATTTATTTCCCTTATCTGGTACCTGTAACACAAGTTCTTTACGAACTTAGTACGGGACCAGTTAACGTGGCGTGATTGTTAGTAAATATTTATTTATTTACTAACTGACCCGGCAGACTTCGTAGTGCCTCAATCGATAAATAAAAGACCTAAACTTTTGTATAAAATAAACTTAAAACAAACAGAAGGAATCCGTCCGAGGGGGGACACATCAAAGGAAAAACAAAATTGTTATTTTTTATTAAATTCCGAGCATTTTCATATTTATTTTAAACCTTCTCTGGACTTCCACAAATAATTCAAGACCAAAATTAGCCAAATCGGTCCAGCCGTTCTCGAGTTTTAGCGAGACTAACGAACAACAATTCACTTTTATGTATATATAGATTATTTATTATCCTTTATTTTAGACACTCGGTCAGTCGCAGAAGATACCCTACGAGATATTGGAGACGAACGAGGCAGCTGCGGTGTTCAAGTCCTTCCTTCACGAAGCCCAGGAGGAGCACAGGAATTATGAGTGAGTAAATAATTTTTATAAATGGGATCCTAATGTTAATGAATGAATGAATGAATGAATGAATTAATGATTTATTTTATTTCAGACAACAAGTCCATATATGTACATAGTATCATTGAAACATACTTAAAATTAACAAAACCAAATAAAAAAGATACATTTATTTAAAAAAAATATTAGTTTAATACATTTAAAATATTCCATTCAACTGATACTTCGAATCAACCATTATTATTATTATTTAGTCCGCAAGTGAACCACGGTACAATGGTTCAAGTACCGACAGTCATAACGGTCTGTTAATGCCTATTGAGAGTCACGTATAGAAATGAGTATCTTTTTTTTATGATTGAAGAATTAGTGTTGGCCCGGAAGCCTTTCCAGTTTCACCACGACAGGATGATGCTTAACAGATGGTGTCAGCAATTCAAACGTCTCCTGGAGGAGACCGGGTACGTGACCCCTGGGAAGCAGCTGTCGGAGGTGCGCGTGCTGCTGATGGGCAGGGAGTGCTACGAGGCTCTCTCCGAAGAACAACAGCAGAGGGTCTACGACCAGCACCAGAGGCAGATACAGCGTCGGGCGAAACACAACTTTCAGGTATTGTCCTTCAGCCCCTGCGCAAGGATGACACGGAAAATCGTGAAGCGTTCCACGTTTTCCACAGTGCGTTTCCAGAGGTCTTTTTTGTCACGTACCATCCAGCTATGGAATGAGCTCCCCTCCACGGTGTTTCCCGAGCGCTATGACATGTCCCTCGCGGTAGGCAGCGGCTTGGCTCAGCCCCTGGCATAGCTGATGTCCATGGGCGACGGTAACCACTCACCATCAGGTGGGCCGTATGCTCGTCTGCCTACAAGGGCAATAAAAAAAAAGATAAGAAGCGAAGAGGTCCGATATTCACTTTCAATTTATCAGTAAATTTTAAAATATAATTAATTAACCGTAATGTCTTAGTTTAATTGATTAGAGAGTATTTAAGCTGTGTTTTTTGTAATTAGTCGGAAAGCGTTTTAATATTAACAATAAACACTTTGTTACTTTAATTTGGGTCAACACGTTGGATTTTTTTGTAATATGTAATTACCGTAAAATTACTATAGACTGACAGTGTGGTGTCCCCATTTTATTTTTAAAATAACTATTACAATATTACAATATGTTTTCTTTAGGTTTAAATGTGTAATAACGGTTGTTTATTAACTGTTTTGTATCATTAAAAGTGCACAAATGTGGGAAAATGAAAGAAATCCGCTCGACGTAGCTTCTCGGGATCTTCCAAAAAGTTCACTGAAAAATTCTCAATGAATAACCACCATTTTATTGAGATTGTATTTCATCAATATGGTTATTTTGAATAATGTTGGTACCGCCGTACCCAGCTGTAGTTAGTATGAGATCGGGTGTGCGTTCAACATGGGCATTGTAATAATACATACATACTCATAAAAAAACAATTTAACGGTTTTATTATTATTAAATAAACTACTACTAATTGAATTTAGAACTGTCTGATGAACTCATCTTTGTTTACTTCACTATTAAATTTTATTGCCTTTTGTTTATTTCACTTTTACACTAAACACAATATTGCAAATTACCCGAGCACAATAATGGTGGAGAATTTTAGGTGCGTGAGAGCAGACGTAGACACTAACGCGCATGCAAAAGTTACACTTTCTTCCCTGTATGGCAGGAGGAAAACCGAACTTTCGGCGTAGGTAGGAGAAAAATAATGTTTCAAAATCGGGTTTTTTTTTTCGGTGAACATACATAGATAAAAAATTATGGTCGAATTGATAACTTCCTCTTTTCAAGTCGGTTAAAAAGCGTGCTTTTGGTACCTTAAATAGCTCCTTAACATTCTATTATTCAAAAATATTTTCACTTTCTACGTAAATGAAGTGGGGGGTAAAATTTCGCATTATGCCAAAGTAACTATTCCACGCGGACGAAGTCGCGGGAAAAAGCTAGTCTTGAATAATGTTGGTACCGCCGTACCCATTTGTAGTTAGTATGGAGCTCAGTGTGCGTTCAACATGGTCACTATAAAATAATTATTTGTAGGAGTTGCTGCTGGAGCACGCGGACCTGTTCTACCATTTCAAGAGCATATCGCCGACCGGGACCATAACGCAAGAAGACATCAAGGAAATCACTGATGTGCTGCAAGATGACTTTAGGTATGTCTCGTGGGGATTCAGTATCAAGACACACAGGACCGTGGGCATCACCCACCGGCTCTCGCTATTCGACACGTGTTTTGGATGCGTCTTCATTAATATTAGGGGTTAAAGTATGAAATTGCCGATTTGCCGATTTGCCTTTTACTGGTGGTAGGACCTCTTGTGAGTCCGCGCGGGTAGGTACCACCACCCCGCCTATTTCTGCCGTGAAGCAGTAATGCGTTATGGTTTGAAGGATAAGGCAACCGTTGTAACTATACTGAGATCTTTGAACTTATATCTCAAGGTGGGTGGCGTTGTAGATGTCTATGGGCTCCAGTAACTACATAATACCAGGTGGGCTGTGAGCTCGTCCACCCATATAAGCAATAAAAAAAAATTGTTCTTAAAAATTGAAATTCCTTTTTTTTTCATTTAACATATTTATTTAATCAAAATGTCTACCATTATCTATACTAATATTATAAAGAGGAAAGATTTGTTTGTTTGTTTGTATTGAATAGGCTCCGAAACTACTGAACCGATTTAAAAAAATATTTCACTGTTGGAAAGCTACACTATCCCCGGGTGATATAGATTATATTTATTATATTTTCAAAAAAGTTAGGGATCCTTACTGAAACTCCAATAATGTAACCCAATGTGTAAAAAAATTACCTCAAATTCTTTACGTTCGCTACTTCCCAAGCGAAGCCGGGGCGGGCCGCTAGTTATCTATACATTGCTGCCATCTAATAGGGAGGTCATTTATGCCTTTTGCGATAGAACTCTGGTGATCTAGATTCTACAAACTGTGTGAAAGCATTTCGTATTGCCTCCTGGGAAGAAAAGTTTTTATCACGTAGAAAATTGTCCAAATCACTAAAAAAAATGGTAGTCCGTTGAGCAAGGTCTGGCGAATACGGATGGTGACGAATGGTTTCTAATTGCAGTTCATGTAGAGTTAAAACGATTTCTCGTGCTATTATGAGGTCTCGCGTTATCATGGAGCAATAATGGTGAAGATCGATTCATGAGTCGGGGCCGTACCATTTGAAAAAAGTTTCAATGGTTTATGTCAATTCGAAGTAGCTATTGCAGTAAAACGGCAATTTCATACTTTAACCCCTATTATATCGAGGGCTGAAATGCTATTTAATTTTTAGCGACATTCTTGCAACTTCACAGAAGAGCCATTTAAACTTTAAAATTTGAAAAGTATCATGTTCATCAAGTTGTAGCTCAATTAAAAACATCGAATTGTTGACGCTAATACCAAATAACACGCACCTTTAACTACAAAGATAAATTTGGCGTATTATGCGAAATGTCGCTTAAACTAAACCTTTCACCCCTCGAATTATGATCATTTAATACTAAGCACTTTAATTACTTTCTGTGGATTACAATATCTGCTATTTATTAAACACATACATTAGTTATTGTAAGATTTTCAAATCATCGAGGAATATAATGCTACGCGCTGGGGTTCGGGATAAATAAAACTCCCCGAAGTACATCTGAAAATTGTATTCAACATTTAGAACATTTAAAACACTTCACTAACATTTTGAAATCCTAAATTCAATTGTGCTGCTTCGCTTCAGGTGATCCGCTGTTTCGCTTCGAGTTCCGATTACTGACTGACTGCGTGCCATCTCTGCAACGTTTTTATAGCCGATACCACATCCCTAGAGTTATCGAGAATATTCCACACATTTCGAGTATTCTGTTTTTGATATCTGACAATAGATGGCGTTATACTTGTATTCGTTTGACTATTCGGCGATAGATGGCGTTACTCGCACCGGCATAACAATAATATCGATAAATTGACAGGTACAAAATGCTGGATCGGATGGAGCAAGACAGGAAGCTGATGCTGTTCCAGCACCTCGGGTTCGTGCACTGCCCCATGCGGGAGCACTGCCCCGCCGGACCCAACTGTCTGGACGCCACCCTGCCCGTCATACTCAACACCAGAGTCGGGTTAGTGTCTATACAAAACTAGTATTTTAACTACATGTACTATGTACATGCAGAATCACGAAAAAATATTATATATGCTACGGTCAACCAACGTATTGATATAATTTTTTCCTGAGAATTAATTTAAGGAGTCACTAGTGACATTTACTACGCCGTGCTCTCTAAAAACATCTTCTATACCTATACTGTACAACTGGGGGGAACGAAAAAGCGAACCTCCGACTCTAGACCAAGCTGGTGAAATTGCTGAGTAGACCGACGCTCCGAATCTTATTGTTTTTATATACGCCAGTCTATCTTGATAATGTCGTTAACGAGATTCAGGCGTCTATCAAATATCTAGTGCTCTATGATGGCTGCTTGCTACAAATAGCAACAAGCTTGCTACGGTAGGCAGCGGCTTTTACGGTAGGCAGCGGCTTGGCATTACTGAAGTCCATGGGTGACGGTAACCACTCACCATCAGGTGGGCCGTATGCTCGTCTGCTTATAAGGGCAATAAAAATAAAAAAATAAAAAAAACAAGCTGAAGCTATTGATCCCTGAAATGTGAGTTTAATTTGACCTTATATTCGCCCAGGTCGCTGACGTCGGCAGGCGAGTCCCAGTGCCTGGCCGGGCCGCCCGCCGCGCCCTGGGCCCTCACCACCGACACCAACCACATCAACGTCATCATCCTCGGGGTCAGTGCTCTCTGTGTGGTCACGTGCGAGAGGGACGACAGATAGTCCCGCACCGACCTATGACTCTATCTTTTACTAGTGGTAGGACCTCTTGTGAGTCCGCACGGGTAGGCTTCACCACCCTGCCTATTTCTGCCGTGAAGCAGTAATGCGTTTCGGTTTGAAGGGTGGGGGCAGCCGTTGTAACCATACAGAGACCTTATAACTGATATGTCAAGGTGGATGGCGCATTTACGTCGTAGATGTCTATGGGTTCCAGTAACTCCAGTAAGCAATAAAAAAAAAGTTCATTATTTAGATGGAAGGTGTGGCTGGCGAATTCGGCAAGCGCCTGATGGCCGGCTGCGACTCCGAGCGGCGCATCAACGTGCACGGACACAGCTGGAGGCTCGAGCAGAGGATCAGGACCGATGACTTCTCTGAGACGACCTCCATAGACGATTTTGCACCTAATGGTTAGTGCTATTTAAATTCAAATTAGCTTATATTCTCCTATAACGAGTTTTAGTTGGTTATCAGTTACTGTTTCTGGATTTATAATCAAGGTTAGACAGGTTTATAATGAAATAGGTCTGGTGATGATGCTTTCAGTTCATTATGATTCATTCTGGATCAAGGGTTAGCAAGGAAAACAAGGCTTCTCCTTTTTATTTCCTTAACAATATTTGTAATCAATAAACAAACTAAATTTATTAAATATTGTTATGAATGGGCAGGCTAATATAATCATTCGACGTGCGAAAATTTAAATAGACTTGCAATTTATAGCAGATATCTATCAACAGGCTAACATTAAAAGTACACTTGAAAATTTATGTGCTGTTTCCCCACATATCAGCTTTTTTCCTTGTGATAATGCTGATTGTTATTCAATTAAAAGTTAGTTTTTTCTCATTAAGTTATGGTATTTAATAAAAATAACTCCATATAGTAACCTCCTTTGTAGGTCTTGTAATATGCTGTCAATGAATCCTTTTGCTTCTTTTGTATTTTGTTCTTATTAAGAAGTTAATAAGAAGATAATAAGTTCTTATTATTTATTAAATAAACCATTTTTGCTATTGAAAGGTTACTTCTGTGTGTATCAAGATCAAGAATCTTTTGAATACATCCGAGCTTGTGCCGAGAAGACTTTGCTGTGTAGTTTGGAACAAGAAGACAAACTTCCTTTCCAAGTAAGGCTTTATGTGTATAACAGGAAGTGCACAGTCGAGCGAACGACTCATCTGTTGAGTAGTCACTGGAGCTCATAGACATCAACAATGTACGGCCGTCTGCCTTGAGACATGAGTTCTAAGTAGAGATGAAACGGATAGTGGTTTGGCCGAATACCGGATACTTAATATTCGGCCCTTTCGGAAATATTCGTGCGCGTTCGGGCGTTGTCGTGAGCGGAGATCGCGACGACCCGGCACGACGACGATTTGGTATTCATTCACCACAATTTGCCACTTGTTCATTTTGAATATTAAACAAACTAATTAAAACAATCACTTTTGATGTGCGATTATAAAAATAAAAGTTGTCCATAACCTATTGTCGTATTATTCGCTTTTGTATAAGCATGAGATTTTCTTAAAATTTACTATTCGAAACCGAATAGTAATAACATGGCCGGATAGAACGGGTACCGGATAGTTATCGGATATCCGTTTTATCTCTAGTTCTAACTCTCACTTCTTCAGTACACGGCTGCCTTACTCTTCAAAACTAAGCGCATTACTTCTTAACGGAAGAATGCGTTGCGTGGGTTGGTGGTGGCACCTGTCCAGTCATCTCCATTGATGTATGAAAGAAACATGCAATTTTGTGTGTACATTGTTTGAATTTCTTTTTTTTTTATTGCTTAGATGTGTAGACGAGCTCACAGCCCACCTGGTGTTAAGTGGTTACTGAAGCCCATGACCTCTACAACGTAAATGCGCCACCCATCTTGAGACATAAGTTCTAAGGTCTCAATGTAGTTACAAGGGCTGCCCCACAATTCAAACCGAAACGCATTACTGCTTCACGGCAGAAACAGGCGGGGTGATGGTACCTACCCGCGCGGACTCACAAGACGTCCTACCACCAGTAGAAATTGTGACTGTAATGAAGTTGTAATGGTATAATAATTTTTTTTTTTTTTCAAATAAAATTGTTCTAATTTACCTTTGCTATAATTTTGTAACACGATGAAAAAAACCACATTGAAAAAAGGATCTAGGACTTTTTTGTAACACAATGGGATAGAATGCTTCTGAAAGCTTAACTTGTACTGCCTTGCGAATTGTGTTGAACTCTGTTGTATGTTTATTCAGTGCTCAATATTCGCACACAGGGCCTGCCGCTAGTCGTGATGTTCGTGCAAGACGAGGGGATGGATAAGAAGGAGCTGGCCAGACTCCAAGAGGAGGGTCAGAATCTCGCCGACAAGTAAGTTTTAAGACGATTAGATTCCTTTATCAGTCACATAATTCCTCCTAAAACTATAATTGATTTCAACGTTATTTATATTGTAAAATTTTTACTTGTGACATATTTGAACACATAAAAATTTACAACTTCAAGAATGACTCATAGCATAGTGTGTGAGGATGTTACTGAACCCCCATAGACACAGCCCACTGAGTTTCTCGCCGGATCTTCTCAGTGGGTCGCGATTCCGATCCGGTGGTAGTTTCTGCAAAGCACTGCTCTGTTAGAAAATTCTGCAAATTCTGCCTGTTTCTGCCGTGAAGCAGTAATGCGTTTCGGTTTGAATGGTGGGGCAGCTGTTGTAACTATACTTGAGACCTTAGAACTTATATCTTAAGGTGGGTGGAACATTTACGTTGTAGATGTCTATGGGCACCAGTAACCACTTAACACCAGATGGGCTGTGAGTTCGTCTACCCATCTAAGCAATAAAAAAATAATAAAAATTCCGATCGGGCCTAACTGGAATAGCTTCTTAGGCTACCAGCGAATATGTAGGAATAAAAATGTAACAGAACTGCAAACATCTGTATTTATTTGAACCTGTGCAATAAATAATTAGAATGTTTAGACGAACAGGCTTGATATAGGTTCAATGTTCCCTCAGCCTCCACTGCTCGTACATGGAGGCGTCCATCGGCGAGCTGGGCACGGAGGCGTTGACCCGCGAGGCGGTGCAGGAGCTGGTGCGCGCCAACAGGGACAAGGCGAGCTACGCGCATTTGTACCGTGACGTCATTGTGTGCTTCGACTCCGATATCAGGTGAGGGCAATGAACCTTTAACTGAATTAGTAAATTAAAGAGATTTGCCGTATAGGCAGACAAGCATACGGCCCATCTGATGGTGAGTGGTTACCGTCGCTCATGGACGTGAGCAATGCCAGGGGCAGAGCCAAGCCGCTACCTAATATTATAAAGAATATAATAATTTTATAATACTGTCTGATATAAGGACAGTCTAGTATGGAATTTATTTTGAGAGTTCCTTAAAATATATCTCTTTAATTTAGTAAGAACAGTTGCTTTCTGTAACGTAAAAAATTTTTTTAACGGATTTTATGACCTGGTAATTAAGACCTTTAACTCATTTCTTATTTTAATTTATATTATTATTTTTATGAAAAATGATAATATGGAGAGAAATTAAATGAAATGAAGATGATTCATTTGAGACATCAGTCAACTGGGATGAAATTAAATGAAATGAGATGAGATGATATGGGATGAAATATGATATAGGATGAAATATAATCTCGCTAAAATTGTGGTTTACTGAGATTTTTTCAGGGGACTTTTTAGAGGATCCCGAGAAGTTACGTTCAGCGGCTTTGTTTCATTTTCCCACATTTGTGCACTTTCACAGATATTAAACAATTAATAAACCACCATTATTACACATTTAAACCTGAAGAAACACTGAATAGACAAAATAAAACAAATCACACAACTTCGCTCCTCGCGTTCTAGAAAAGTCCGTAACGTTTGTTATAGAATAATGGTGTGCATGTTCTGCGACGACCCGTACTCGGCGGAGCGAGTGCTGAGTCCGTTCCTGTCGCACCGCGGCTGCTTCCTCACCGGCGACCGCTCGCTGCTCATAGAGACCTTCCTCGGAGACTCCAAACGGAAGGTCGAGGTACGTCGCTGCTTGTCTGTGTGTTGCATGTCGCGTGACGGTCGGCCGCGGAGTAGGGATAAAGTGAAAGGCGCTCGTCAGAGCAGCCAACTTACTGCTCCATGGCAGAAATAGGCAGGGCGGTGGTACCTACCCGTGCGGACTCACAAGAGGTCCTACCACCGTCTCTGGTGTCTAGTCTAGTCCTCACCCGTGGTCATACGTGTGTCACCAAGTACCAAGATCAAGGTGCCGAGACCGCATTTTATGGTCAATCACTGCACAGACTGTTCTCATGTAAGGTCTCCGATATTTTTTGACAACGGACGATACGATATGTCAGTGGCGTGTCTGAATGTGTTATAGGCTTCTAGTCCGGCTGCATGTTGTACTGTCGCATTGCGAATTCTAACACATATATTGTTTTTAGGTAATAATATCAAGCTTCCACGGAGCCAGTCAATTCAGAGAGGAGCTGATACACGGTTTCATACTGATTTACTCGGCGAAGAGAAAAGCCAGCTTAGCTACCTTAAAGTGAGTAAAGTCTATATATACCCTTAACATGTATTGTGTATTAATTTTCGCATTAATAAATAGGTACTGATGTTTGTAAGTAATAAATTACGTAAAGGTGAATTGATAGGGTTTGAATGGAATTTCACACAAAAGTATATTATTAATATATAAAATATTTTTATCATGGTAAATGTAATGCACGGGCAACGCCGGGTACGTCTACTGTAGTTAATACGATCGTGTCTTCGTTGATTCATAATTTTATGTAGCAACGGATGATAACACACAAATTTAACTAAGGTTCAAATCAAATCAAAAAATTTTTATTCAACATAAATGAAAGTACATATATATGTACTTGTTGAACGTCAAAAGAACTACCGCCAATTCACAAGAACTAGCCTCTGTTCTGAGAAGAATTGGCTAGAAACTCAGCGGGCATGTCTTTTTTTTTTTTTTTTAAATATAATTTTTTTTTATATTAAATTTTTAAAACCTAATAAACCGCGAGGCGCGCCTAGTGTGCCCCCAACAATCGAATGCTTAGGTTTTGTTTGTTCGTGAAATCGTTTGCGCCGTTTTATCCGGTTGAGTTAAAATTTAGCACATTTGGAATTCTGGGGTCGATTTTTGTCATTATACAACCAGTGGTGGTGGTGGTCTTTTTTCGTTTTGATTTGTAATACTGTATTAACTATTATACGTATGTAATGTATGTATTTATGTATGTGTGTATGTATGTATGTATTTAAATGTATATGTGATTGTGTATATATAAACTTTTTTTCTGTATGTATTTGTAACTTAATATAAATTTCATTGCACCTACCACTATTTACTCTGCACTATCTTTGGTTGATTGGTATCTGCTCTTAGGCATTAAGTCCGCCAATGTAAATTTTACATGAAGTGTAATAAATATCTATATATTAATACGTGAATCAAAAACTTTGTACCCCTTTTTACGAAAATTGCGCGGACGAAGGATTATGAAATTTCCCACGCTTATAGAGAATATAGAGAAGGAGTGCAAAATGTTAATATTTTTTTAAAATATGAACAAAAATACATTAAATCAATAAAAAATAACATTACACACACGCATGCATACTATCTGTTTATTGTCAAACTTTTGTTATTGCTTATTAAAGTCTCTGGTCAAATTGTGAATAGATGAAATATTGTTTGTCTTTATTAATATTTGTCTAAAGTGTATTCTGGGGCGAAATCTGTGATTATGGAAGTATAATAAATACAACTTTACTAATAGAATCGTAATAGTGTACAAACTAATAATTTCAATTAATTTTAGTCGAATTTCGATTACTGCGGAACCCCTAGTAAAAATAAATAGTGATGTATTATTTCGCAGTGCATTTTCGATGAACATACCGAACCTGCCGATACAAATGGTGGCGGTGACGGAGGGCGGCGGCTCGGCGGCCAGCGCGTTCTTCGGCACGGACGTCGGGCACGCGCTGCTCACGGACGGGAACGCCACCGCCGACCGCCTCGCCGCGCACTTCGCCACCTACTCCTGCAGCGCAGACGCCAAATGTGAGCACACCGCCCTTGGGCAACAACAACGCCGCCCAACTGCCAAGCTAATTTTATACTGGTGGTAGGACCTCTAGTGAGACCGCACGTGTAGGTAGGTACTGTTACGGGGTGGATCCAGGAGCACTTTTTAAAAAGGGAACCTTTTTTTTTATTGCTTAGTTGGGTGGACGAGCTCACAGCCCACCTGGTGTTAAGTGGTTACTAGAGCCCATAGACATCTACAAAGTAAATGCGCCACCCACATTGAGATATAAGTTCTAAGGTCTCAGTATAGTCACAACGGCTGTCCCACCCGTCAAATCGAAACGTATTGCTGCTTCACGGCAGAAACAGGCGGGGTGGTGGTACCTACCCGTACGGACTCACAAGAGATCCTGCCACCAATAAAGGCCGGTCTGGCCCGGTTAAAGGTCACCGGTGTCCTACGTGGTGCACTGGAGTAATTAATTTCGATATTCGATCTAATTAATATGATACTTAGTAGACTCGGGCAGAGACGAATCCGAAGATGCAGAGAATTAATCTATTTCTAAAAGAACTAAGAGAATGAAACATACATTAACAAACAAAAGAAAGCAAAGTTAGGCAACCCGGGCGCTTTAGTAACAGAAATCGACATTATTACTTTAATGCGCCACGTAGGGCACCGGTGACCTACATGGTAGTCAGCATGTTATTATATATATATATATATATTATATAATAAATTAAATTATTTCAGACATCGTTATGTAACAAAATGAACATATAATACAGTTCAGTTGAGACGCGTCGACTAGGAGGTGTAGTAGTAAAGTGTGACTGTTTCCTTGCAGCCGCGTTCTACACGTCGTTCTTCAAGGAGGTGTGGGAGCGCAAGGGCGAGATCGAGCGCGCCTTCCGGCTGGAGCAGCCCGGCGCCGCGCACAACCTGCCCGACGTGGCCGCGGCGCGCGCGCCCGCTCGCTGCGACCCCGCGTGCGTGCCCGTACCCGTTGCAACCCACCGATAATACATTTACCCTCGAACTTGTACTTTAGACAATAGATATCTTCGCCCACCTGTCCTGGTGAAAAAGGCCTCCTAGCCACTAGTAATACATGAATCATAAAAAAAAAACAATAGATATGCGATCGCTTTACCCTTGAGCTGAAACTAAGTCAAACCATTAACACTTTCAGACTATATACATTAAAAACAAAATCGCATTAGCAATCCCCTTTCCAAATGCAACATTGATATTGCGATTGATATTGTAGCTATACCTGAGACCTTAGAACTTATGTCTCAAGGTGAGTGGTGCATTTACGTTGTTGATGTCTGTGGGCTCCAGTAACCACTGAACACCAGGTTGGCTATGAGCTCGTCCACCCATTTAAGCAATAAAAAAAAAATTGCGAGCTGTTTCTAAAACATTAATTCCGCGTCGGAACTCTCGTATTCAAAAATCACACGAATTTTCGAAGTATCCATCTTTCTTGTCTAAGCCGAATAAATAAAACAACTGAAAATCGATAATCGAATGTTGCACATTTTTTAAAAGAAGAACCTCATAGGTAACATTTGAAAAAAGTTTAACTCAAAAATCTCAAACCGTGAAGGTTCTATGTCAATTCGAAGTACCTATTACAATAAAACAGCAATTTCATACTTTAACCCCTATTATTAAGCCAAAGTAATGAAATGATTATATCGTCGTAAGTTAAAGTGGGCAAATTCTCACAAGATAATTAAACATTTTTTAAGTTAATGATAATTAATATAAATGGTTCCGTTACAAAGATAGATACATAGATATAGGAAAGAACTTTTATTAAAAGCGTGTTGAAAACATCGTGTCGTGATCATGATGTATCGTACAAACCAATGTGTGCGTTTACAGGAGGGAACACAAGTTAACGAACTCGTTGGATCTGCTCATCGGGCCCGACTCGAGAGCCGACATCGACTCTGAGTACAGCGACACCCTGAACAACTCCAAGAACAGAGGATTCTTGAAGGGTACTGAAGGATGAATTACCCGACCGAATAATGTCCTGAAATCCAAATAGAACCTGTAAAATTGTGTGCCTTACTGGTGGCAGGACTTCTTGTAAGTCCGCACGGGTAGGTACCAGCACCCTGCTTATTTCTGCCGTGAAGCAGTAATGCGTTTCAGTTTGAAGGGTGGAGCAGGCGTTGTAACTATATTATACTGAGACCTTAGAACTTATATCTCAAGGTGAGTGGCGAATTTACGTTGTAGATGTCTATGGGCTCCAGTAACCACTTAACACCAGGTGGGCTGGGACGAACGTCCACCCATCTAAGCATTAAAAAAATACATAATTTACGTTCTTACTGATGATAGGATGTTTTGTGAGGCGGCTCGGGTAAGCACTATCAACCTGCCTATTTCTGTTCCGGAGCAGTAATGGGTTCCGGTGTAAATGTTGAGACTTATACAAGATAATTAAGACTTAGACCTCAAGTCTCAAGGTTGAAGACAGGACTGAATTCACTCGTCTATGCAAGTAAAAAAACGTTTTAATTTAATTTTAATACTTCATGCAGTTGTTACTTAATTGGAATGTAATATCGATTTTCCAATCAAGTTAATAGGAAACACGATCTGTGTAGTAAGTAATGTAAGTGCTCGCCATTTGAACTAAAATCGATTTTCAAATATCGTAATCACAAATCTGTATGTAGGTTTCAGCGTGTACCCCCCTCCCAGCACGCCGCCGGAGCCGGCGCCCCCGGACCACAGAATGCACCCGGATTTGTCTCGTAAGTCTCTCGGATACTGTAATGAAATATTCTAATACTAGCGACCCGCCCTCGCTTCGCTTCGGAAACTGTAATTTATTATTGACTTCTCCACTATTTAATGGATGTTATTATACATATAAATAAAATTAGAATGTCTGTTTGTAATATTGAAATAACCGCTTCTTACTACATGCATATGAATATATATACGGTACATTCACCAAAATAACATTTTTTACAATTTTTGTCTATCTGTCTGTTGGTTTGTTCCGGCTAATCTCTGGAACGGCTGAACCGATTTCGATGAAACTTTCACTAATAGGTAGCTGATGATATAAGGAATAGCTTAGGCTACTTTTTTTAGACTAGCTTCGCCCCGCGGCATCACCCGCAGTTATTGTCGTACCGCGCGCAACATGGCGGGACTCGCCTATCAATAATAAAATTTAATGTTTCCGAAGCGAAGCGAGGGCGGGTCGCTAGTTATACATATAAACCTTCCTCTTCAATCACTCGTATCTATTAAAATAAACCGCATCAAAATCCGTTGCGTAGTTTTAAAGATTTAAGCATACATAGGGATATAGGGACAGAGAAAGCGACTTTGTTTTATACTATGTGGTAATTAGTTCTGACACGTATGGCGTTGAGCACGACCTCAAAGTTATCGGTGTCAGGAACTGGAAGGAGAAAGTCCTGAACAGAGCAGTCTGGAGAGAGATACTGAACCAGGCTATAGGCCCACCGTGGGCTGTAAGGCCTAAGATGATGAGTTCTGAGATGTGGCTTCTATCGCGTCATTATAGATTTTGTTAATCAATTTAAGCTCAGAGCAGGCATCATTTGAAGATCACATACATGTCCTTCCATTTATCGTTAATACCCACATAATCTGGACACTGGACAGTCTGGATTGAATAGTATGAGATTTTCAAATGCACCTTTGCTACCGGTAACCTTTGCCCTTGAGCTTTGTTCCACGGGAGAACTTTTTTGAAAAATTCAATTTATTTCCAGGATTAATTTCCCATTTCTGTACTTTTGCCTATAAATGCCCATCTGATGCCCGGTTCTTTAAATATTTTTTTGATCAACCCCTCAGGATCAGTACTATTTTTCGGAACGAATCTTAACACTATTGTCTCAGTTGCCATCAAATGATATAGAAGTCCAGGGTCAGATTTTGAATTTTTATATTATGGGATATTAAATGGTAAACGAGAAATACCTCATCTTTTTAAGTAGGATCTGTATTATGTAGGTACAGGTTTTTAGTATGAGTAACAGAAAAACTCGAAAGTTTTGTTGAGTTCTTAATATATATTTGTTATACATTTGTATTTTGTTTAACTTAGATTATATTAAGCAATAATTTGACAAGATTGGTTTTCATTTGGTACCACAGGACATCCATCGCTTGTTGGCTTTGTGGTATTCGGAAATTTAAAAGTTAATTGATATACACTTATTTTAAATCATAAACAAAAAGAATCTTAGATCAACGAACCATAATTATAATGTGCTTAGTGCGTACTATGATGTATATCACAAGTATTAATAAAATATATTATAATGCAGCGGATCTCAACTGTTCTGAAGATTCACTGAGCACACACGAGTCAGGTGAAGCGCATGGCAAAAACAATCTTATCCTTGAAGTTGTACAGTGGATTTTTGTGTAGATTAGATATTATCGTAATGTTTTATGTATTTATATGTTTTGTCTCAAAATGTTTTTATTTTTTGTTTTTGTTATATTTGTTTTTTTTTGTTAGTGAAAATTGTTTGTGATATTCTAATTTAATAATTTATGTATTTTTTTTATTATTTATATTATAAGTTTATTTATTTTGTCATAATGTAGAATAATTTTGCATGTCCTAAAAAAAGAGGGTATTGTAGTGAGAATTTTGTAGTGGCTTAGATGTTTTAGAAACACATTGTCTTTTAAAATACTTTTACGTAATGAATATTAGAGTATTTTTCTTTATTATTGCACAAGACCATCATTGCTGTATTAAATTACGTTATATATATAATTACTGTTATTATTTACTCACAATTTCACAATACAAGTAGAAAAGTAGTTTTATGATTTTTTTACGTTTGCAACATTGCAAGACGTCATCTGATGAGGGCGGTGTGAAGTAATTTTGTTGTTGTCCGACAGATGGCGGTGGGTTGTGGCAGCCCCCCGGCTACGGGCACCGCGCCTTTACCACGGGACGCACGCGCCCGCACCCGCCGCCCCCGCGCCCCCGACACTCACAGACGCTCAAGGTTACTCACGCTACACAATTAATTACAACCCTACTAATCTAATCTTATTAAAAACAAATTACTGTTGAGCGTATTTTGGTGTATAGTTCGTTCGCGTTAAGAATGCAGTGAGTCATCATTGTTCGACGGCCTAGCCCCGCCCCCTAACCAATCAAATCTTTTCAAATTACAATAATGCTATTTGGTATTTAGATGACGTCACGGAACTCGCTGCAGAAAATTCTTTTATTATAAATACTAACTAGTGAAAGTGATTAAAATATTAAAGACTTCATTTTGATTTTTAACTTTTAAGTGTATTTTTTAAATTCATTAAACTTAATCTTTAAAAAAATAATTTGTTTGAATTTTAAAACCATTGTGAATACACTTTTGCACTACAGTTGCTGATGACTCACTGCATTCTTAACGCGAACGAACTATAATTACAACTCAACGTAAACGTAAACACAGACACCATATTTTAATGATACTAGAACGTATTGTGGACTTCACGATGTGTCGACGTTTTCCCTATTATGAACACAACGAAGTTTTGACACGCTCTAGTATCCAGGAGCTTAGTGTTTTTACTACAATGTAATTCGTACTTGTAGCTTGACATTACGTACATTGATTGACAGTTGATAGCGGTTCGGTTGCTCTTCTAAAATTGCTGACATCCATGAGCACCGACAAAAAAAGAAATAAAAAAATATTTGACGTTGTGTTATCTTCACCCCCCTCCTCCCCCCTCCTCCATAAACCCTATTTCACCGCGTTCAGCGCAACAAAATAACTAAAATCTTGTCACTGCAGCAACCCGGTAAACTGGACATGAACAACTACACGATGGTCAGCGACGCTCTACAACACATCACTATAGGTCCCCCGGCTCACTCCCGAGACAGGAAGGTAAAAATCATTTACCGTAAACTAATAATAAATGCCACTGAGGACAGCGGTCAGAAATGTGACGGAAACTGGAACGCGCTAACGACTTGTATGATAACCTATATGAAGTATTTTTGGTACATCGTTTAGACTGTCGCCATGGAGTATAGATCAAATGAAATCAAAAAAAAATTATTCAACATAGATGAAAGTACATACTTGTTGAACATCAAATAAAACTACCGCCAATTCACAAGAACTAGCCTCCGTCCTGAGAAGAATTGGCAAGAAACTCAGCGGGCATGTCCTTTTTTTTTTTAAATATTCGATAAAAAAAAAATCGATTTTTTTAAATATTCATTTTTACAATGAGTATTATAACGTAACAATTATTACAATATTGAAATGCCCGGAGCGAGCAACTCATTCCCACTTTGTGCAATCTTCTAGATAATCATTGACTTTATAGTAAGCTTTATTGCACATATGTTCTTTAATAGTTTTCTTAAATCTATACAATATGATAGTGATTTTAATAATAAGCGCGGTCCGGTCTCAGTCTGTCTCTTTCTTTCGTGTTCGTAACGGTAACGTAATGCTTATTCATTTGCGTTCTAATTCGGTGTACGTTAAGACCTAAATTGGGTTGACTCGAGGTGTGCGTGCTTTTAGTCTCAACGTTCCGGCTGGTCACACTCGAGCGGTCAGCAGGGTCACCACCACCACCCCTCCGGAGTCAGCTCGGAAACTGAATTGGATGCTCAATATGCGCAGGTAATGTTCGGCGAAACGTATGTTTGATGACCTTCTTCGGAAGCGCTCGGGCAGCTGTTAGCAAATCCCACCCCTCCTGGCTGAGCCTTTGCTCGCCCATCTCTCCTGGTGAAACTAGAAAGGCTCCGGGCCACCAGTAATACTTCAATCATAAAAAAAAGGTTTGATGACAGACGACATGTCCTAAACTTACCCTTTGCCTATCTCTGCCTCTGCCTCTGTCTCTGCCTATCTTTGAGGAGTAGGATAACCTTTGTTAAGTAATTCAAACTTAGATCCCCGGGTGTAAGATGTATAGGATTCCTTAGACACTTAAAACTAAGTCTGTCTCATATATTTATTTAAATTAACAAAACCACACTTCATAATGGGGATGTATTTAATTTAGATGAGAGTTTGTTAAACATATTTAAAAAAATTATCCTTTTATAAAATATGAGTACGTTTTATTCTGACAAAAAGTTTTACTGACCACAGATTAAAGAAACGAACGAGTATATGGAGGCGCCGTCTATGACGCGCTTGAGGAGACATCGGAGACATGAGAAGACTCCGCTGCACCAACCCTGTTAGTTGAACTATAATATTGAAAAAGAATTAAAAATAAAATCTCTTTTTATTTTACAAATAAAAATTTAGTATTTTGCTTTTCGCAATAACAGTTTGTATTTTTTTAAAACTAATTTGTATGTAACGTAAGCTGTAATTATTTCTATAGTTTAATCTCGCGTATATTTTTTTTCGAAATTTCGAGCTTTCGATTAACGTGATAATTATTCGAAAACTAGGTACTTGAATTTAAAATATAATTTATAAAATATAATTATAATATAATTTATAGATAATTTTATCATTTGATCAACCAAACACAATAAACGATAAAAATGGTTTTACGATAAAAATATCCGTGTATAAATAAAAATAACGTGTACATATATCTCCGGGCCACTAGTTATAACTAAACTCGTTTTAACATGACCGTTATGGAGTATCATGTTTTCTTAATTGCTTTTGTAGCGTTACTGACATACAGCCAACTTGACTGTAAAACTTGAGTTCATACACGGACATCAGAAACACCAGAAGCACAACCAAGTCGTTGTCTAAGAATACGCATAAATTCTAAAAAGTATTAAGTTTCAGCTTTAAACGTGTACTTTTTGATTGACAGCGTTCTCGGAGACGGACAGCTCCGGCTCCAGCGAGGCGTCAGGGGCCGGACGCGCGCCCGCCCGCCGCCGCCACGCCGCGCACCACGCGCCGCGACACTACAAGAAACGGTACGAGCCTGCTCTGCGCAATATTTCAATAATATAAGTAAAAAAAAACTTCAGGGGTGTCAAGGGACACCCGGATGGAACGAAGTTCCTTTCGATTAATTAGTGAAGGAATTGTAATTTTTTTTTTTAAGTTTTGATAATAAATTACGGCATTATGAAGAAAAAAAAAACAATACTATGAACTAAATTACTATTGTTGAAACGCTATCTCGAGAAACTGTACTCATTACGCGGACCAATCGGATACGAGCAATGTTACGCGATAAGCGCCTACACGTTGATTGGTCAGAATGACGGATCTAAAAAGTGTCGTGACAACTTTTCGTAAGAATTTTTTCCGTCTAGCCCCCTTTCACAACGCGCGATAAGGAACTTCGTTCCAATAAAAATAAAATGGCTCACATCACGAAAACCGCTGCTGATCTATAAGACTCAAATTTAAATTTAATTGGAACCCCCTCACCGTTGTCTATTTTCCGGTGTAGGAATAAGTACAGGCAATAGAACTGATCTGTGCTGCCTTATAGTAGAAATAACTCATTATATTTATATTATTAAGTTTATTTAACAATTGTAATGTAATTATAAGAACAGTCGGTTTCCTGGTGAGATTTTGAAGTGAAAACTTCTTTAGAATCGTTGTGATTTCAAACCGGATGCAACGGAAAAAAACGACAGGTAAGAGACACAAATACAAAAATGTGTAGGATGAAGCCAGCAAAGAATGAGACAGAAATATACATACTATTTAATACAGCGCCATCTGTGAGATTTTTTAATACTAACGTGTGTATGAAAGCTCTTGTAGTGAATTTTAATTTAGGATTATACGTGAAATTAAAATATCAATTCACAGAGGGCGCTACCTTACAATTATTTACTAATGACAAAATTTTACATATACTTAAGACGTTTAGGATAATTGTATTTTAATTTTGGAAGGTTTCACTTCTACCACGTGTGAATTGCACACATGTAATTTTTTTTATAATACTTGCACTACCATCAAGAGCGTAAATAAATAATACTATCATACAAGAGGACAAATAAATCTATTCACACGACCTTTAGTAATGAAGAAGCACTACCATCATAGTAGACGGCTGGTGACAGCGAGAGCCATCTTTTGGACAATAGTGGGAGTTTATTGTAAACATTACACTATTAGCTCGAATGGGCAGGCGCAGTTGCACTGTCATATCTATGACAATCTCGTGGGATGAATAGGATGGTGTTGTGCAAATACGTAACAAAGCGTCTACAACATCTCTTGCAGGTCCTTAGGTAACCTGGTGGCGGTGCAAAGCCCGCGAGTCCCGAAGCTTGGGATGTTCGTGGGGCCGCCGGAGCTGCCCACCGGCTACAGGGGTAGAACGCAAGAGGACAAGGGTAAATCGATTTGTTAATATTTTAATTTTCTCCTCCACAAGAGTAATAGTTATATATCGATGGGTGAAAGGCTATTTGGTTTAAGCATAATTGTTGCAACTCTACAGGAGAGCCTTTTAAATTTTAAATTTTGAAACGAATGTCATAACAAAAAACTTTTTTAGCTGTTTGAATAGGGTAAACTTAATTGAAATTCAATTACGGACCATTAATTACAAAGATAGATGTCGCGTATTAAGCGGAATGTCGTTTAAACTAAATAGCCTTTCACCCATATCGCTATTCTTTCATATAATAATGTAAATCCTTTAGCTGATTTGCTAATAAATTATGATTTCATTAAAAGTAAATTTTCTTTCCCGTTCCTTGTTTTAAAATTTAACATCCATGTTTGAAGTTTGTGTGTGTGTCCCCGTACAGCCGCCAGCGAGTCTAGCGACGGCAGCTCGGACGCGGACATACGGCGGGTGCGCCCGCTGCCGCCGCCCCCGCACCACGAGCCCACCCACAAGGTACCGCACGCGCCCCCACGTGCAGTGTGACAACCCTAGTCTCATTATTATGCGGTCTACACACGACCCTAAGATCAGTGGTGATATCAGGACAGCGGTGGTGGGGATAATCGTCCCTAAAAGATGAGTTCGCCTGAAGCAATTTTAGAGTTTTTTTTTATTGCCCTTGTAGGCAGACGAGCATACGGCCCACCTGATGGTGAGTGGTCACCGTCGCTCATGGACTTCAGAAATGCCAGGGGCAGAGCCAAGCCGCTGCCTACCGCTTAATACTCCACAAGGCTCGTTTGAAGAAGGACATGTCATAGCGCTCGGGAAACACCGTGGAGGGGAGCTCATTCCATAGCCGGATGGAGGGTATAAGAGTATAGGGTAACCAATAAAATATCGAGTAACGATTTGCCTATACATGAGGTGATTTTGTGTACGATTTAAGGTCCTCCCCACAACTATCACGATATCGCAGCTGATTTTAGGGTCGTGGTAGGCCGTATTGGTTATGTCACTTCATTATCGATGCATGTGACTAGATGTATGGAAATGGTAGTGCAAGGTAGAGGGGGAAGAGTTCGATCGAAGAGGACATGGATAGAGTATGTGAATGACGATATGAGAGAGAGAGAGAAAGCGGCTCATAGAAGAGAATGGATTAGAAAAATTCGAACCATACGTTCCTCTACCTCTACCTCTAATTTCATTAAGAAAGAAATTAATTAAGAAAAAAAAGAAGACTTCATTATCGACTACAAAGATAATTTATTGCAAACGTTCATAAGCGTCATAGAGTAGGAATTAGTGAACGATCACTTGGCAACAATTTTTTTTGTTATATTTATTTATTGCGCACAAAACAAATCACAATCATTAAATATTAACTAAATCGTACAAATAGTACCTAAAGCCTTCGTCAAACAGAACGCGTACTTAACGTCGTGCTCTTCAAATTGACCAGATGAGTCTAACGCTCCTTGACGCAACGCATTCGCCAAATCATAGTGCCTTTCGATAGCAGTGTGAACATTTAAAAGTATTAAGAAATCGAGTGATTCAGATGTGGCATTGTATAAGCATGGGTATTTTTTAACTATTTATATCATTTTTTCGGGCATTATCTAGTATTTTAATACACATTCACTCGGACGCTAAAATAAAATTTGTAAAAAATTACAACGCCTGATGTCAAAGCGTCCTAACGTCGCGACAGAGCACTGCGTACTTATAGCGCTGGGGCACTGTTTGACGGTATGTTACCATAGTAGTACAACATATCTCGGCGTCATAGCGCGCCGTCAGTTTAGCGCTCTGACGCGCGCTAATTACGCGTTCTGTTTGACGAAGCCTTTAATCTGATCTCGATTGCAATCTAAATGATATGTGCACTCAGCAAACTCATATTAGTGTACATAGCGAGCGAATATAATCAATTCAAAACTAGCTGACCCGGCAGACTTCGTAGTGCCTCAATCGATAAATAAAAGACCTGAACTTTTGTATAAAATAAACTTAAAACAAACAAAAGGAATCCGTCCGACGGGGAACACATCAAAGCAAAAATAAAATGGTTATTTTTATTTAATTTCCACAAATAATTCAAGACCAAAATTAGCCAAACCGGTCCAGCCGTCCTCGAGTTTTAGCGAGACTAACGAACAGCAATTCATTTTTATATATATAGATGACGAATTTGTTTAAGATACTTGCCGGCGAGTACCCGGCGTCGATACAGGAGAACTGTACCGCCAGCGCGCCGGACCCGCGCCGCAGACCCCACCCCTTCGGCAAACACGACAGGAGGCACAAGGTGATCTAATGTCATCCGTCACGATATTCACTTATTGACAGCTTTTTTTTAAAGATAATTTACGGCCTGGTAACTAAGACCTTTAGGTCATGTCTTATTTTAATTTATATTCTTATTTTTATGAAAAATGATAATTTGGAGTGAAATTAAATGAAATGAGATGAGATTATGTATCGGATGAGATATGATCTCAGTAAAATAGTGGTCATTTACTAAGATTTTTTCAGTGGAATTTTTGGAGGATCCCGGGAAGTTACGTCCAGCGGCTTTGTTTCATTTTCTCACATTTTTGCACTTTCACAGATATTAAACAGTTGATAAACCACCGTTATTACATTTAAACCCGCTAGACAAAATAAAACAAATCACACAACTTCACTCCTCGCGTTCCCGCCAAAAAGTCCACTTATTGACAGCGAATGCAGGCGAATGTAGACTATACGGCCCGCGTGGTGGTGTCGATCACCAGCATAGCCATTTCGCTGCCTATAGCACAGAAATCTCTTTCTAATTTCGTTTGAGAAGAGATATTGCATGGCGAAAAAGTTCTTTGGGAAAGCGCTGGGTATCAACGCGAAGGTTCTAGAGTGAACATTGTTCCGATGGCGGGGGCTTCGATGGTAAAAACAAAAGAATGGATCACCTTTTTTTTTATTGCTTCGATGGGTGGACGAGCTCGCAGCCCACCGATTGTTAAGTGGTTACTGGAGCCCATAGATATCTACAACAGAAATGCGCCACCCACCGCGAGATACAAGTTCTAAGGTCTCAAGTATAGTTACAACGGCTGCCCCACCCTTCAAGCTGAAACGCATTACTACTTCACGGCAGAAATAAGCGGGGTGGTGGTACCTAAACGCGCGGACTCACAAATGGTCCTACCACCAGTATACCTTAAATAACCTGATCACTTCTGTGTCTTTTGTGTTCTGTTTTTAGTCATTCTCATTAAATTTTTGTAATAATAAAAAAAAAAATTGTCCAATAATGTACACACTTCTTTTGTTTGACAAAAGCAAGTTACATGCCAATTTTTCTCGGCGGTCAAATTGCGTTCTGTATCAGTGATAAAGTTGCGACTATTTAGAAGTACCTCCGAAGGTTTTTTATTTTGTTAACCAGATCAAAAAGGATTTATTGTTTTTTAAAGTACAGTACTTTGTTCAACAGGAATTCTCGAAGAGTAAGGACAAGAAGAACTCATCACAAGCGGCCAATGCGGCGTCAATTCAGAATTGGGGTCCGCAGGTAAATGGCCTTAGCTAGGGCAGGACGGCGGGTAGGGGAAAATTAAAAGTCCTGTTCCCTGCTTATATGGGAGGCGTTCATTGATGTCAGTATCGATGGATGAATACAAGGAGTAGAAGAAATGTATTATTTTAAGCAATGACCCATTTTATTTCTTCTTCAGTTTCTATATGGTATCTATTCTGGGATATATTTTTATATCTCTTCGCTTTGAAGTTTTTCAGTTTCAATTTTTACATAGATATTTATATTAAGCGCATTATAATTGGCTTTGTTATTTTAACGAACATAACCAATCCAATTCTGATACTATTACTCTTTCTGTGTAGGTTACGTAATTTACTGATCCAACTTTTCATGTCTCTTTTAAACATAATGATGTTAATCTATCTAATACCGAATGTAACATATGGTAGCATGTAATTGTCATTAACTCGCCTTTCTTAATTAATTTAATATAATCTATAGTGGTTTTTACAGATGTTCCGTTATAACTACTGAACCATGCATCCGATTGACTTGAAACTTGGTATCCGTGTAGAAAATACATGTACTTAATGGATAGGCTAATATTTATATAAGTGTTGGACTCGATAATAATGACACGAAATAATAATGTTAATTTTAAATGCGCAGCGAAGCGGGCGAGTACGGCTAGTTTAATATAAAAAGCTTTATGATATGACGGTTATATCCTGATGACTTCATTATTAATGGCGTCGGATCCTCGGACTCGACTTATCGTATTGTACCAAGCGCACAGTGATTGACAATGAGCGCTCTCTACCCCCCAGGGCGGGCACGGCGTTCCACTGTTCGTAGAGAAGTGCATAGAGTTCATAGAGCGCGAAGGGCTGGGCTCCGAGGGACTGTACCGCGTGCCTGGAAATAGGGCTCACGTCGATATGCTCTTCACCAAGTTCTACGAAGGTCAGTCCTTACTTCGATTATAATAGATCTTATTTTATACCTTTAAACGAGCAATTCTTGTATATATATATATATAATCTGAATCTCGGAAACGGCTCCAACGATTTTTATAAAATTTAGTATACAGGCGATTTCGGGGGCGATAAATCGATCTAGCTACGATTTATTTTCAGAAAATGTTGCTTTATTCGTGTTTTCAATTATCAATTTTATCGATAATCAACTTTATGACTCTTCCCGACATCTATTGGCGAATTATAATACTATTTTTCATAATTGAGAGCAAGACACAATAACACTAAAGCTATTTCAGCAGATGGCGTTGTTAAGCCACCCGAAGCCAATGAGTGTTTGGTTTAAAGTTAGACCAAGAAAATGAATTGCCTATTTATATTATTTGTGTCTTTTTTAACTCACGTGTTCACTTAAAAATGCCTAAAGAATCTTCGAATATTTCATTATTTTATCAATATGTAATTCGTTATTTAAAAATAATTTCTAAAAAACACAACTTATAAAAAAAAAATACCGAACAAAGCTCGGTCATCGTCTAGTGTCAGATAATATGTGTTATGTCCTACCCTCGAACATGTGGTAATAAAAAAAAAAAACGGTGCGCGTGCAACTTTGTGCCCGTGAATGAAGTGAAACTTCTTTTTCGATGTGTGTAGTATTGTGGCTTTCTTCGTTTTTCATCCTTAAATCAGATTCATCTTATAGGGAATGGTGTGGTAAAGTGTGGTATAAGAAATACGACATCTTCAACATTTATATTATATATATATATATTATATTATAGATTAAAAAATAAGTATATATTTTTAAATAGTTCATTAAAATATTGGACACTACTCGTTGCTAATGCTCGCGCCGGCCTGTAGCAGGTATACTATGCGCATGCATTCGATCTGTCTCTTTATATTCTATGTAACGCTTTTAATGCTACCTTATCGGAAGTCGTATTACAAGTTTCACTTCAAAAATAAATCTAGTAATAAGGCACAATAACTGTAGTGATTGTAATATAGAAAATACAACAAACACCCTGCAGCTTTATCAAAATTTTGTTATTGCGTTTTGATGACAAAGTATTTTAGGGTTATTTTACTCTAAATGGTTTTGCACAGTTAAAGTAATGAATACATGGATAATATTAATACAAGATCTACTTAAGTGTTAAGTAGTCATCATTCACCTTGAGATTTTTAGTTTATGTCTTACTTGTGCAGTGTTTATACAAGTTATAATGATTTGCGTATTCAATATTTATTTAAGCTGAAAGTTAACACGAGCTAAGACATTTTTAATTAAAAAATATTAGAAAAGTTTGTTTATTGACTGCGGGATTCGAACACCGGTACAGTCGTATCGTTAAATACGAACGCACCGGGCGTCTTATCCTTTAGTCCGCGACGACTTCAAACGAATTATAATGTGTAATCTATTTATTATTTTCAGATCCGAATATAGATTTAGATTCGCTAGACATACCCGTGAACGCCGTCGCTACTGCGCTCAAGGATTTCTTCTCGAAGAAATTACCGCCATTACTCGATGAGGCGAGCATGGCGCAGCTGGAAGATATCGCGAGTAAGCTATAATCATTTTGATTTTCACGTTAAATTTATTGGAGTAAATGGATAGCGCGCAGGACCAGCCTTCAGTTATTTTTTCCTACCTTAGCTGATGGTCTAGACTCTAGAGAGACCATATCAGCGTCACCGGGCTAGTAGGTCAGCTCAGGGGGCTCAAACCTGACGACGTTGCTGACACGAACCCTAGCAAGAGCCGTGCTTCGCAGAATCTACCACCGGATCGGAAACGCGACCCACTGAGAAGATCCGGCGAGAAACTCAGTGGGCTGTGTCTGTGGATTAATTTACTCGCCGAGGACTTCGTTGCAAGCGACGGGTTCGACGAGAACGATGACCGGAATTGAGTTGTTAGAGAGCCAATATTTTTTTTATTGCTTAGATGGGTGGACGTGCTCAGAGCCCACCTGGTGCTAAGTGGTTACTGGAGCCCATAGACATCTACAATGTAAATGCGCCGAAATAGGCGGGGTGGTGGTACCTACCCGTGCGGACTCACAAGAGGTCCTACCACCAGTAACAATAGACATGATAACATGAAGACTATTAGTTATTATTGTACTAATGGAACCTCTGCCTTCCGAACCAGAATCTTTGAACGATTAGTGGCATACATATATATAGAGCTATCTGTAATTAAGATAAATACATTTAGGATGGTTCTTGATATTGATTTTAGTCGTGCATAGGAATAACGCCTTTATATTAATGCCGCTAAGACTTCAACAGTGATCAGGGGATATCACATAGTAAAGTATAATGCCGGAACTACACTGCGTTATGCGCTATTCGTTATGTGACTACGCCGTATTCGGCTAAATATTTGTTATGCGCGTGCAAACAACAAACATGCCATTCACACTTCGGACTTGTATGCCGATTTATGCCAAATAAGGCAAATATGTGTGTTGTTTGCGTGGAGCGATGGACGTGTTGAGAATTGTCGCAATTTATTATTTTCTTAATGCTTCTTACCATCACTTGTTGTACAAGTACAGAGCTACTAAAATACCGAAAAGAAAAGGCTGGTTGATGATTACAAGTCATAAGACATGTCGATACCCGACCGCCGTAAGCGAGTTAATGACCGTATTGGCCCTATTCGTGTTCCTTGAAGTGTGTCAAAAAACCGACAAGTCGACGGATACGCGTATTTGCTATTCGTCCTTATGTGTTATGCTTACGAATAAAGCGAATATTGGCGAATATACTCTCCACACTTCGCCGTATGCGCGTGAATAGCCCGCATAACGCGAATAGCGAATAGTAGCGCAGTGTGGTTCCGGCATGAAATAAATAATTTTGGCTTATCGTGTTTGTTTATGTGCTTTTTTTGTGTATTTAATCTGATTGAGTTGAAATAGCAGACGTGTGTATTGATCTCTGGTCTGAGCCGGCATAGTAAAGTTAGAGTGTGGTGTGTAGAAGTGCACGTTGTGGGTACAGCGATGCGCGGCTGCATGGCGGGCGGCGTGGAGCTCAAGGACCGCAGCTGGCGGCTGCTGGCTCTGCGCGCGCTGCTGCACTCCGCGCTCACGCCGCTCGCGCGCGCCACGCTCGACTACCTGCTGCACCACTTCGCCAGGTACGGACGCGCACGCACTCGCGCACGCACGCAACACAACACTCATTCAAATTGGATAGAATCTCTATAAACTCCTTAAAATGTTCATAATATTATGACAACTTTTATAAATAAAGTAGCTGACCCAGCAGACCTCGTAGTGCCTTAATCGCTAAATAAAAGACCTAAGCTTTTGTATAATATAAAATAAATTTAAAACAAACTAAAGGGATCCGTCCGACGAGGGACACATCAAAGGAAAACAAACATTGTTATTTTTATTTAATTTCATATTTATATCTACCTTTTAAACCATCTCTGGACTTCCACAAATAATTCAAGATCAAAATTAGCCAAATCGGTCCAGCCGTTTTCCAGTTTTAGCGAGACTAACGAACAGCAATTCATTTTTATATAAATAAATATAATTTGTTATAATAGAAAATATAAGACTTTAGGAGATATATTTATTCAGAATATAATATAATAGTAACATTCAAATGTTGCTGTCAACCAAATTGATGAATGATTTGAATACCTAAGCAAATATTATATTGCAATAATTTTATGTAGTGACACTAAGCCGAAGACAGCTACGAAAGAAAGACATCAAACTCTTAAGATAAAGATAAAGAAGCCTTTATTAACAACCTTAATTCATATTTAGGCACATACTACTCATATTTTTTTTTCAAACTCTTAACACGCCTCAAAACGTGACCTGGGGAGCTTTGTAAATCGATTTGCCTGTATGTCGTTGTATGTTGTAGAGTCGCCGACAACTCGAAACTGAACTCGATGGACAGCAAGAACCTGGCGATATGCTGGTGGCCGACCCTCCTCCCGGTGCAGTTCTCGGACATGGGCAGGTTCGAGATGACGAGGCCCTACCTCGAGGACATCGTCCAGACAATGATCGATCAGCACCCGTTTCTGTTTCGAGGGCAGGAGGCGTTTGTCATGGTGTGAGGGCAGTTGGTGAGTTCTTTATGTACCGTAAAATGGGGGAGGGGTTAATCGGGACACTTTAAGTTCGACTTTTTTATTGCTTTGATGGGTGGACGAGCTCACAGTCCACCTGGTGTTAAGTGGAGTTAACTGGAGCCCATAGACATCTACAACCGTAAATGCGCCACCCACCTTGAGATATAAGTTCTAAGGTCTCAGTATAGTTACAACGGCTACCCCACCCTTCAAACCGAAACGCATTACTGCTTTATGGCAGAAATAGGCAGGGTGGTGGTACCTACCCGTGCGGACTCACAAGAGGTCCTACCACCAGTAGTAATTAATTAGTAAATTGAAAGAAAAAAAACAAAATCATATGTCGTAATTGAAAACATGAGGTGATGAAGGGGTTAAGTACCATTTTTAAGATTTTTGAATTTTTGAAAAAAAAACGGAGCTTGTTGTTAGCGTCATCTGAGATACGATGTCATATATTTTACTTTACTTTCGACCTTGAGACATGAGGTCGAAGACTCAGTGGTGTTGTGTAACGGTTGACTTGCAATACGCCCATAACTACAAAAAAACATAGTATGTCATAATCGTTTGTGTATTGACTGTTATGATAAGAAATAATTTTAAATGTTATATAATTTTCAGGAAACCACAATGCAGGTTGCATTCGTGATGAACGACGTCTGACGTCACGCGGTCCCGTGACGTCACTGAACATTTTCGAAACGGCTTGGTGTCGACCGAATTCAATCTCGAAGTGAGGTTTTTTTTGTTTCAAACTAGTGACGAGTGCGTGCGCGTTATACGGGCATTAATCGACTATCGACTTTTGTAGTCGATAATTTTATATCGATTTACTGTATTAACGTTGTGTATCGGCAAGCTATTGTTGTTCTATTGTAGTATTTTTGAAGTCGACGTGATGATAGATTCCTTAGAATTTATAGTGCGTTTTTTATTTTAATATACGTTTTTCCATATCAATGCATGCTTAGTGTGACGCTGTTGTTATTTAGAGGCTTGCGGTATGTTCCCATATTTTCACGGCTTTCATCGTTTGAATGTATTCGTTTTCTTTATTTATATTCAGTACTGTTCGTAGTCGTTATTATATACAACAAACAATAATCGATTGGTATTTTATATCGATTTTGTGAGAATTAAAAAAATCGATTAACACTTTCTAAAATTATCGCATTTAAATAGCTTTAAGATTGGAAATTCAAGCACAAAAACGTATTTAATGAAAAGGTTTTTTTAAACCTAGTATTATCGAGTATATTTGATAGTTAACGTTTGTATTAATGGCAACACCACGTAACGAGCACATTCCGTTCAATCGAAAATATTAAGGAGTAATTGTTTATTATAATTACGTAATTGTAAGTGACGTATTTGTAATCGTTGTTTTAAAAAAAGTATTGGTGTAAGTGTGTCTTTGAAATCAAACGGTATTGCCAACATACAAAAATGCCTTTCGTATGTGACCTTGGTTCAATGTGTTTTGATTTTTTGTATCTTTTTTTTTAACTGAAAGTGCAGCTTTGAGTTGTGATATTTTTGTGAAGCCCTAGATGCCGTAATATTTGTAAATAAATAATAGTAACTGTCATTTTTAAGTTACATACTGGACAAAAGTTTGTAGAAAATCAGCTTTGAAATCGCCTTATCAATACAATTTATGTTCAGATACTTTTGAATCATAAATCAATTTGATCTTGCCAGGCTACCATGATCACAGATTGCTATAATATCATAATAATAAAAAATTAAAAACGTGATATCGTTTATATGATCTGTGAATTCAGAATATATTATTCCTATGAGATTTTACTCGGAATATATAAATAACATTATTTGCATATTAGTGTTGTATGAATCGAGAATCTTTGGATATAGGCAGCACACCGGTAAAAAAAAAGAAATGACAGTCTGTCAAACTATTGACGTTTAAAATGTAGTCGCTTAAGATGTGTGCTTCCCTTTGCTTTGTGAGCCTTCGTATCATTATTTTCCCATTAATTATTTTGGGTATTTTTAATTAGTTTAGTATAACAATATGGCAGTCGAGCTAGATAAAATTATTAGAAAATGTATTATAATTAAACAACACAGTGAGTGTTTTTTTGTTGTTGTCTGAATCATCACATTTTTATATCGATCTTTATTATTTTCAAATGGCAACTTCACTTTCGTAATAACATTCGAGACTGATATATCGTTTAGTTCCTTTTATTAAATATTAACAAATTCATAACGCGAATCGTTTATGCGGCGTTTTATTTTATCGAATGATAAAATTTTATCGATTCAAAGTCGATTCAGGAGATGTTTTACGATTATTTCATCAACGGTAATTAGAACGAGTTTATTTATGAATTGGTAAAGCGTTTCGCTTAAATTATGTAGCTTAAGTTGGCTTCAAATCGATATTTAAGTTATATATCGATTATCGAATCGAATCGATACATAAGTTATATATCGATAGTTTTAAAGAATCGCGCGAGTGGCCTATTTTTGTAAATGTAAGTGTGTGTAGATAATTGCCGCGTAGGAAATTATTGTATTGTACATTTTAATAATATGTATTATTTCGAGGCTCGCTTTTGTTAGAAGCAATTTTTTTTTTTTTTNAATCGATATTTAAGTTATATATCGATTATCGAATCGAATCGATACATAAGTTATATATCGATAGTTTTAAAGAATCGCGCGAGTGGCCTATTTTTGTAAATGTAAGTGTGTGTAGATAATTGCCGCGTAGGAAATTATTGTATTGTACATTTTAATAATATGTATTATTTCGAGGCTCGCTTTTGTTAGAAGCAATTTTTTTTTTTTTTTTTTGTTTACAATCTCGTCAGATATATTCGCGTAAGCTAAAACGTCCACGAGTCAAGTGTGCGCTCGTTTATGTGAACGCAGATTAAAAAAGCGATTAATCTCCGTACTGAAATTTAAAATAAGATTTAGTTTTTGTGTATTTAAATATTTTTTAAAACATCACACTGTATTTTAGATGAATTTCGAAAATTTTATATTATTGAATATTTTTCGTATGAGAAATGATTTTAGGTGTTCATATATATTAATATATGTATGTATATTGTTTTATTTTGCCAAAAAACGTGCAATGCTATCATTAATATATATTATATATATATAATAAACTTATCGTGTTTTACGACTAATGATTGTATTTCATCTGTTTCGCGTATTTGTAAGCATTATTAATTATAAGTACGTACGTGTAATGTTTTCGATTAAGAATATAATATCTAATATATAAAATATTCTCCAGTAAGCGTAGATTTAAGACGTGTAAAATGTAAGTTTTTATCAATATTGTAATAGCGTATTGTGCTATCTCTTTCGCGCACAGTGCGGCGTGCACGTTTGCGCGAAAGAGACGCCACGTCATGTCCATTAGGGGAAATATGGAGTTTTTATATTTTACTATGAATCGAATGAGAAAAGAAAGACATTGAACGTACCTACTGTTTTTTTTTATATATTTAATATTATAATTGGTCTAGAATTTTTCGCTTTGTATCGATCTCAAGAATTTCCGTAGTGTTTTCTTAAAAATTTTAATTCCTTTCACAAATAACCCTTCCCCTAATGCGTGTGTGTTTTATTTTTCATTAATATTTCTACGATGAAGTGGTCCGTGTAAATAATGTAAATTCATTGTGTTTTTATTAGTTTTCGCTTAATAATTTATTTATTGAGATATATTTTTTTAATGAAAGATTTTTATATTGATATTTTTGTTATTTGATGAACGCAATATTATTTTTCGGATATAATTTTTTTTTGTTTGTTTTTTTTTTTTAAGTGCCATGTATGTTTTCGTAACTGATCGTGATTTCGGTGATTCCTAGTTTCTTTTTTTTTAGTTTCCATTTTTATTTTCGATTGTTTTTCGCGTAGTTTCTCTCGAATGTTCTATGGTTGTATCGATGTAAGCTTGTCGGACGTTGCGTCCCTGCCTACCGTCTGACTGCGTTGTCGTCAAGTACCTAAGCTTTTGGTAGGGTGTCGTTAGTGTGTATAAAACTTAAGTCTTCTTATCGTGTATTTTGAAGACTAAGCAATTAAGATTAATGTTGTGCGCGAGGAGATAAAAGCTCCGTTTTTTACTGAAAACTAATTAAATAGATCATCTTTTTTTTTAAATATCCACCATGAAACCCTATTTTGATAATGTGAAGCTATATAACAAAATGGCTTAGAAAATCTGTTCGTGCACGTTAACTTTATATTTATGCTGTAGTTTGATTGATGTTGTGATATTCGGATAGAGAAGCTACCACGAAGGGCATGACAGACATGTTTTTTTTTGCTATGGCAACACTTGATTTCATCAAACGAACCTTCCGTATTGTTCAAGGCATCGTTTAAGTCGTTCGATCGGTTCATTAGAACAACAAGATGATCAAACTTAAATTTAAAAAAGAAATGTGAATAACATAACGTAAAATAATAATATACATAATAATTTTGATGTGAGCGTTTCTTGCCATAGACTAGATATTCGAACACGTTGAGTGAAAAGAAACAGTGTTGCCATGATATGATAAAAAAGTTGACACGTCCTACAAAAATTTCATAAATCTTAATATGTGGCAACACACTGCCTTTAATGTAGACTATGTTAGTGAAAGGTTCATTAGAATTCGGGAATGTTGATATGTCATTGTCATGTCCTTGTCGGTGTTAGTTGACGGCAGGCCGGAGACGCGCCGTTCGTGAAATCAATTTTGCTATGCGTCTCAATTACTGTAAACACACAGTTCAAAGGAATGTGTCATATTTTATATTAAATAACCATCTATGTATGTTGTGTGTTTTATTTACGCGCATGTGACAATATATTTTTTTAATGAAACTAGGCTCGTTGAGAGTAAAATTTAACTCGTGACAGATTCGTTACGGCTAGAAAAGATACAATAAAGGAAGAATGACTGGTGGTAGGACCTCTTGTGAGGGAAGAGCGAGAGTGACTTGTGGTAGGACCTCTTGTAAGTCCGCGCGGGTAGGTACCACCACCCTGCCTATTTCTGCCGTGAAGCAGTGATGCGTTTCGGTTTGAAGGGCGGGGCAGCCGTTGTAAGTATACTGAGACCTTAGAGCTCATATCTCAAGGTGGGTGGCGCATTTACGTTGTAGATGTCTTTGGGCTCCGGTAACCACTTAACACCAGGTGGGCCGTGAGCTCGTAGGGTCTACGATATAACCAATAAAAAAAATGAGCGTCTCGCGAACCACTCGACCGTGGAGAGAGGGTACGGACAAAGCGAGCTAGGTCGTTTCTCTTATACACAGCATCCCCTATTCCCCGTCTACATTATGAAATCGAAAAAAAATTAAGGTAACCACAATACCTACTACACGCCGCAGAAGAAGTTTCACTTCTTTCACGTGCACCATTTTTTTTAATGATGATTTCTAGTAATTTATATACTTACAATTGACGTCACCATCACAACGCGTGAACCATCACAAAGAATTCTCGTAAAGGTAAGTCGAATTGTATGAAAACAAAGCCATGAACGTATAAAATTTTATTCTCATACAACTATGGTAAATTAATATTAGCACATCGCTAAACGAGAATCACAGTTTTTCTCCATTATTTACAAACAATAAATAAGTAGAATACAAAACAATAAATTCTTTAACTTGATAATGTTCTTAACGAATAAACAAAATTAAAAAGTAATGGTTTTTTTTGGTAAAAGATGAAGAATCTATGGAACGCCGTAACTACGCTAATGCAATACGAGTTACTACTTACTACGTAGCCACTAACATTATTTTCGGCTAAATTAAAAGATTGCTTAAAAATATGACATTATCGTAGATTGAGGGGAATCGGGACCCTTTCCAAATCCAACACAAATTTTCAATGGTTTTTCTTAGGGTAATACCAATAAAAATGAGATTAAAATGGTTCCGGAGGCTTAAATTTTTATATACGATGCGTTATTATATAATATAGTTCATTACAAAATATGTATACACAAAAACTGAAAAAAACTAGCCTGACCCGATTCACTTTGGATTTGGGGTGAATCAGGTTACGTATGGGGACAATAGTTTTTCAATAGGGCTGGCACTATTTAGTTGTTAGGTAGGTACCTAACTTTAGGTAATAAATTTTTTAATATAATTTAATGAGTTACAAAACTTTGATGACTAAATTAAACTATTTAATATTCTTAAACACTAAAAAAAAGTCATTTTCAGTTCAACTAAATTAAATCTAACAACTCAATAAAAGTATTGTGACATCCCAGATTTGTCCCTATTCTAACTCTAGCCTCTATTCCCCCAATCTACTGTACTGAATTCTGAATATCTTCGATAGTAAGAATATCGGTTTTCTTTTTTTGAACTAGATATGTGCCGGCTCACTTGATTTTATATGGTTACCGAAACTCACAGATCTCGCTCAGTGTGCTCAGTATGAGTTTTTTAACTTCTCAATCGCGTAAAAGTTAACTCAAATTCGTATGGAATTGGAACGCCGTCCGTAGCGGCAAACGTACGGGCGTAGATCTTAATGGATACCGCCACGTAACTGTTCTACCTGCTAAGACGAAATACATCACTGCTTTAGGTTAGGAATAGGCAGAATGATGGTGCCTATCCACACGGGCTTATAACACATCCTATTTTCAGTAAAGCGGTATTTGACGAATCGAAATAAATAAAGAATTCAAATTCAACTGTGAACACTAAACCGTCCGACTGTTAAAGTTTTTACAATAATACATCGTACCTCGTATTAGATTCAAAATGAGATTTAAGAATTAATTTACAAAATTTAAAGTAAATAACTTACAGTGCCAGGCAATAAGTATTGCACATCGATATTTAGAAAGAGACAGTCGTCTAATTTATGTTTTTGTTGTATAGCGTTACCTATGTGCGACGAAACACTAACGATCCGGTATCTATGGAGACTAAATGTCAATTAGGTAATGTGCGACAGATATAACGCTCTACGGTGCAAAAATTACCCGTCTCTTTCCCCCGGTCGATGTGCAACATTTATTGCCGGGTACTGTAATTAGATTTAATACAAAACTAGATGCGTGCGAGTAGTCTACGAATATAAATAGTTTGGATGTGACGACGTTGTTTGAACGTGCTTGGAAGACCTGAAATTTTTTTCAAAAACATTAACTACGCAGGGTAATTGAAACATTGGAGGATTTTTACGTGTTAACTTTTTTTAAACTAACTTCAAAATAGTTTATTCACACACACCCGGCTCCCCAGCAGCCGCACCACGGTATCGAGGTGTCGTTGGTTGGGGCAGATAATTTTCTCGATTTGTGAGTGCACGCTGAGCCCAGCGAGTTCACCGAAGAACACAAGCTGTTCGTTCGCTCGTGCTCAGAGTGCGATGTTATTTCCTGAATAAAATAATAAAAAATCAAATGGACCGATTTATTTTTGCCTGCCTTGCTTGATTTATATAGCCTTGAGAGGCTATTTCAGCGTAACCTTAACTAGAAGGTGAGCTCACGGGGCTCAAACCGGAGTGATGCTAACACTGACCCCAGCAAGAGCACTACTTTGCAGAATCTACCACCGGATCGGAAACGCAACCCACTGAGAAGATCCGGCAAGAAACGCAGTGGGCTGTGTCTATGGGTTAATACGCTCTTCGTCGCGAGCGACGGGTTCGACGAGGACGGTGGCAGGCTTAATGTTTTAGTAAAGTTAGTTTAGCGTTATGCAGCGGCTTGGCTCTGCCCCTGGCATTGCTGAAGTCCATGGGCGACGGTAACCACTCACCATCAGGTGGGCCGTATGCTCGTCTGCCTAAAAGGGCAATAAAAAAGATAAGACGCACTCTGTAACTAGGTATAGTGCAATGGCTGATACGAACCTTTTCTTTGAAACTACTCACAATATTAGTTTAAACCAAATTCAAATTTCAAACGCATAAAAAACGTGAACAGGTCTAATATAGGTTTTATAATATTTTGATTCGTGATAGTATTTCCTTCGGTTTTCTTTAGTCGTTGACATAATTAAAACTGCTTTACGGTTTTCGTGGTCAAGGATGACCACGGCAACCACAAAAACAGTACAGTATTCGTAACTACGGAAAATAAAATTGTNTAGTTTAAACCAAATTCAAATTTCAAACGCATAAAAAACGTGAACAGGTCTAATATAGGTTTTATAATATTTTGATTCGTGATAGTATTTCCTTCGGTTTTCTTTAGTCGTTGACATAATTAAAACTGCTTTACGGTTTTCGTGGTCAAGGATGACCACGGCAACCACAAAAACAGTACAGTATTCGTAACTACGGAAAATAAAATTGTATATATACATAATAATCCATAGCAACAAAACGCAAGATTAAGCCGTCAAATTAGTTAAATTTATCATAGTAGATTCTAATTATATCGGAACATAGAAGATTTTTAACATATGCACAAAGGACATTCTGTGTTAATAAAACATCTTGGATATATATTGATCTCTTTCCTACATTACCTACATCAAATAGCAGTAATTACCAAATAGCAGTAATTAAATAAGGGAAGATACGAACGAAGCGTTTTAAACCACGTTTCACACTTAAGATGTTAATTAAGAAGATTAATAGATGTTTAAAAATAATTTCTAATTTACCACATTTGAATGAACTGGTATTCAATAGTGAAGAAATGCTTTTAAAGGTTACGCAATACTGGCGTCACGGCTGGCGATCCCTATTGATTAATTTCGCAAATTCAAACGCTGCTATTTATTGTTTTAGAAATATACCTACAAGCCGTACTCACCCGCTTCGCTGGGCATTTAAAATTAACATTATTATTTCTCACCCCCATAAAGATTCTCATCATTAACGCCCCCGTAACTGGTCTAGGGAGTCCAACACTCATTTAAATATTAGCCTATCCATTAAGTACATGTATTTTCTACATAGATACCAAATTTCAAGTCAATCGGATATATGGTTCAGTAGTTATAACGGAACATCCGTCAAAACGACTGTAGATTTTATATATTAAAATTAGTATAGATTAAAACTTCGCCTTACCTGATAGCTATCCCGCTTGAAGCGCGGGCCAGAACTGGACGACGATACTGTATTCCTAGGTCTATGCCGAGTGCAGTGTTTGTGTTTATTCGTTGGCGAAGCACACGATACATCATGTGCGTCTCCTTCGATCAGCCTCTCGTTGTCACACTCTCCCAGCATAGGTCCTCCGTTCTTGGGCACGCCGTTCTTTGAAGCCCCATTCTTACCTTCTTTCTTCTTTTTCTCTTTTCTTTTTCGTTCTCTCTTTTTGAACGTCAGCGAAAACCTTTTACGTTTCTTTGCTTTCGGAGACTCTGCCCTTTGAGGTGCCGTCGATTTTTCTCTCTCCGATCTACTGGTGTCGTCATCGGGCGGCGGTAATTGCGACTCTGAATCGGTTTTCAGTGTAACATCTGTTCTTATCGAAGAGTCCGGCTCGCCTGCTCTATACGCGACTTCCTTCTCAAGATTAGCGAGCTCCATACGACGCAATCTTTTGGGTAGCTTGTTCACGGTCGCGTATATCGGCTCCTCGTTCTCACCGACCGGCGCTGATCGAGATCTGAACAGAAAGTCGAATTTCTTAGGTTTAACTGGGATCCTTCTTTCGACAAACACAACCGTGCTTGCGACTTCTGTCGTTGTAGTTAAATCCTCTCCTGAATTCTTCGAGCTCTGTATTGGCTTCGTTCTAGGATAATCATACGTCAATTCGATATTCTTTTCGGTCACGTAGGATTTCGGTATCTCGGGCTGCGGGTTGCCGTTTATTGCGATAGGCGGGGGATCCCTTTGGCAGCAGCACTGTTTTTGGGTGATCCGTCTTGTGTTGCACATGAATACAGAATTCTGCTGTATAAACGTTGTTTGCTGGATTGTGGGCGTCGACTGGACGTCCCCGAGGAGGTCTTCCACGTTTCCGCCGGTGTGGAACCTGGGAGTTTGGTATGGAGCGACGACGAAGCCCGGCGGTGGTGGTGCGGTGATTTGGTATGGGGGCGTGGTCACCGATTGAAAGAACCTAGGTGTTTCGGTTGGTGCGTCATGTACTAAAACGTCCACTACGCGCTCGTGTGCATTGTCATCTATAATTGGTCGTATTTTCACATTGTTTTCGCGTTGGTTCATTGTTCTTGTATTGTTCTTATCGTCGGGTTTCTTTGAGGCTTCTGTTTGACATTCTTCGCATGTGCACGGAGACTCGCCGCCGCTCTGCAAATAAAAATCATATTTTTTTAAAATGAGAATATATTTAAAATATTCCCGAACGAAAATAAATAATATAATATAATAAAATAATATTTGAAGTTTTTAAAATTAAATGAAAACATAGGAGGATTAATGATTTAGGTATATAGTTCTACAAAAAAGTAGGGTAATATCAATTTTGCGACAGATGAGAGCTTTTTACAAAATTGAATTTGATGTTTATACTATTGCTTTTTTTTCATTGCTTAGATGAGTGGACGGCCCACCTGATATTAAGTGGTTACCGGAGCCCATAGACATCTACAACGTAAATTCCGCCACTCACTTTGAGACATGGGTTCTAAAGTCTCACTTTTAACAACGGCTGCCCCGCCCTTAAAACCGAAAAACATTACTGCTTCACTGCAGAAATAGCCTACCCGTGCGGACTCACAAGACGTCCTACCATTACTTTATGATATTACTTTATGATTTAAATAACTAGTGAGGTATACATATTTAATATCGGTCAACGTCATGTCGCGGACTTTGGCAAGTTATTAATATTATTCAAATTGTAAAGTGCTCCCTCCCGATGAGTTCACCAATAGAAATATGCGTGATTAAAATTCTAATATTTCATTATTATTGAAACTGTAGCTTATGGTCGGAACATCCGTAGTTTTTGTATATTTGGAAGTACACTTTTGGAAATGCGAAGACATATTCGTGTATAGATTCAAGAATTATTTTCTTGGGGCTCATAGTAATTATATGCATTTATTGTATTATATATATCATTTTAATGTTAGTTTAAATTTTTAAATTCACTATAAGCTTAAATTCTTAAAACCTCGTTGTATTATAAACTTACAGATATATTTTTTTTTTACAAATAATTTATTTTATTATTTGCATGTGAAAACATTGTGGATTTTTTAAAAAATTTTTTTACTTTAAATTTTTTATTTTTATTTAAGTGTAGATTAATTCGTTTACACTTGGTTTTCAATCCGAAAGGCTTAGAATAATGTCATTTGAAAAGACGAGGTAAAAAAGGTAAATTACGAGAATCAAGTAAATTTGAATAAAGAGTTACATTATTCATTTATTATTATTATTAGCTATATTATAGTTTCTGTATTGATGGCCCTTTTCATATAATCCTTTGTACATATTATCCTTGGTATTTTACACACTATTTTTTATTTATTAACACTTACACTTCGTCTAGTGAGATACTACAGTATTCTTATCACTATAAACAATCTCTCAGATAATAGGCAATGCAAAGCAAACATATATTTTTTTTCATATTGTTTCTCTAATTCTAACGCAGTAGCAAGGAAATTTACTCTGTATAACGAAGGCATAACATTGGATCAATTTTTACCTCTGTTAAGCTTTCGCCTGTAGTCTTGCAACGTAATTTTTTTTATTACAATTTTTAGGTCAAATATAGTTTAAGGAAAGTTATTTCTAAATTGATTCGCACATACGGTTACAATATAACGAATGGCAAAATAAAAAATAAAAAAAATATTTTGCTAAATGAACTCTCGGAAAATTCACCTTATGTCTTAAACGTCTAAAATTATTTTCCCGTACCACGTAACGACATAATATGTCATTGCGTTACGGTGTAGGCGGAGTCGAAACGTTTTAGCGATCTCAAAATACAATGACAGCTTCCATACTGGACCGATGTATAATTAGGGATTTAAACAACTTTTAATTTACAAACCACTTTAAATTAGTTGATATATAAACAAAAAAAAAACACGTAGAAATTAAGAAAAACTCCCTCAAACTTTTTAGAAAATTTACATTTCCGAAACACATACAATGAATTATAACACATTAAATTTATCACTTGTCTCGTTAATAACACTTTTTAAAGACAAAACGCGGTATCACAGTGTCGGTTCGGATTATTTCAATGGTACAGCACCTTCATAGTATTACACGAAATTCACATGACAGCAAGCAGTTGACTTTACGTTGTGTTAGCGCACGTTGAGCGAATACTGAGTTTATAAATATACAACAGTTTTCTTGGACGCCGAAACGTCCGCCCTTGACTTATATGCTGACCAACGGTCTGTTCTTGAAATCAGAACTGACAGCAATTTGTCAAGATAACCTAAAAGTATTTTGACTAATTGACGATATTTTGAAAACTAGCCGCGAATTTATCGCCATCATAATAATGAAACAATTATTTATGTTTATTTGCTATACTTCTATAGCAGTATAGCAAATAAATTCTATTATACTTTATAAGTCTATGCGGCCACACAAGAAAGATAAATATAAAACTCGTAGTAAAAAAAATATTAGGAAATCCAGCAACAAAAAATTTTTGGGACAAGAAAAAACTGTATCACCTTCCTGTTCAAGATGAAAACATCGATAATTGAAGTCGTCGTGGTGGCCTAAAGGATAAAACGGTCTGTGCGTTTCTATCGATCGATCCAAATGTGCCGGTGTTCGAATCCCGCGGGCAGGTTCCAATTTTTCGAATAAAATACGTACTTAATAAATATTCACGAATGACTTCCACAATGAAGGAATAGTATCGCGTATTTATTACATTTTTGTGGGTTCGATTGCAAATATTAATTTACGTGCTTACCACTGCTCTTGACAACCTTCCTATTTTTGCCGTGAAGCAGTAATACCTTCCAGTTTGAAGGGTATCACGCAGTAATGTCTACGCTGAGTTTCTCGCCGGATCTTCTCAGCGGGTCGCGATTCCGATCCAGTAGTAGATTCATTCGCGAAGCAGTTGCTCTTGAGTTGTTAGGTCTCCTTCGGAGGCGTAACAACTGTTAGCAAATCCCACCCCTCCTGGCTGAGCCTTTGCTCGCCCACCTGTCCTGGTAAAACTGGAAAGGCCTCCGGACCCCAGTAATCCTTCAATCATAAAATAAGTAATGTCTAAGGGTTCCGGTAACCGCTTAACACCAGATGAGCCATGTTCTAGTCCAACCATAAAAAATCCGATTAATGGCCATTATCTTCTATCGTTATAGTATGTTTATTGTAGTTCAAGAACATTAGTCCGACACAATGTAATGCAGTCCACTAGCAGGCGAGATAAACGATGCGTTTGATTGTTTGGTGAAATCACGAAACACAGTCTTATTGTAAGAATCATAAGGACTACCCTGGAAATGTCAGTTGGAAAATGACGTCATAGCCACATCGCAAAGACTTCAGACTTTTTTTTTTATTGCTTAGATGGTTGGACGAGCTCACAGTCCACCTGGTGTTAAGTGGTTACTGGAACCCATAGACATCTATAACGTAAATGCGCCACACACCTTGAGATAGAAGTTCTAAGGTCTCAGTATAGTTACAACGGCTGCCCCACCCTTCAAACCGAAACGCATTACTGCTTCACGGCAGAAATAGGCGGGGCGGTGGTACCTACCCGTGCGGACTCACAAGAGGTCCTACCACCAGTAAAAACTATTTTGTATGTGTGAGAAGTGAGCCTGTCATAATCACATACATCATAATTATGTGTTTGTTAACTAACTATAATCTTCATCTAATCTGTGTTTATAAACATGACATAATTGAATTCCTAAATTATTGATTGTTACGAGGAAAAACGTTTGAAGTTCGAAAAGCATTTTGTGTTTATTCAATTGATATTTCAATTTAGCGAACAAGACAACTGATTTGTTTTTGTTTGAGATAATTTTTCTAATAATGTTTCTTTCATAAGGAAATTGATTCGTAATGTTATGTTTTTATGGTATGGTAAAATAGGTTTTGAAAGATGTTATGGAGTAATCTATACATATAAAAATGAATTGCTGTTCGTTAGTCTCGCTAAAACTCGAGAACGGCTGGACCGATTTGACTAATTTTGGTCTTGAATTATTTGTGGAAGTCCAGAGAAGTTTTAAAAGGTAGATAAATGAATGAAAATGTTCGGAATTAAATAAAAATAACAATTTTGTTTTTCCTTTGATGCGTACCCCGTCGGACAGATTATTTTTGTTTGTTTTAAGTTTATTTTTTACAAAAAGTTTGGGTCTTTTGTTTATCGATTGAGCCACTACGAAGTCTGCCGGGTCAGCTAGTAGTAAATAAAATTGCCATATATTTACCTAACAAAATCCTGTTACACATTCACAACGCATACCAAAAGCATTAGATGATTTATAACTATTAATTTATTACGATGATGTAGCAGTTTTTTTTGAACCTTTTTAATGAATCCTTTGATAATTAAAACTATTAGAATTTTACGGCTTCATGTCGCGTTTTCTATGAAGACTCACAATGCGGGCGATTACGAAAACTGTAATGTATTCAAAACGTCAAAAATAGTATTTAAATGACAATAAAAGTGGTGCGGTTATACTGTAAAAATATGTAGTTTTAATTATGTCAGCGACTCGTTAAAGCCGAAGAATTGACAATTATATGATAGGATTTAAAAGGTAGATTCTATTTATTTTTTTAATATACAATTTTAGTCACAAAAATAATATCTTGTTGTTGTCATAGACAATGTCAATTGTGAATTTGAAATTTTCAAATTTCAAATATGTTCTTCAAAATAATATATTAAAACTAAGCATTAGGTACTGTGAGTGTGTGTTATAAAGCCATTAACATAATAGCCATGTAGTAAGTAATTTATGAATGGCTATAATATAAAAAAAAATTGAAGAATTTGCTAAAGAATCAAATCGTGTCTGGTCGTCGATCTCTGAGCATCATTCGGTTCGCGAAAGATTTTCTTGGACGAGTGGACGAGTTCAAGGCCCACCTGGTGTTAAGTGGTTACCGGAGCCCATAGACATCTACAACGTAAATGCCGCAACCCACCTTGAGACATGAGTTCTAAGGTATAAGATTGAACCATACAAGGCTGCCCCACCCTTCAAACCGAAGCGCATTACTTCACGGCACAAACAGGCAGGTTGGTGGTACCTACCCGCGCGGACTCACAAGACGTCCTACCACCGTACCGTACCGTATTTGTGTTTTCCCGTCGACTAATGACACTAAAATTAGTCATATATCTCGATGTATGCGCGTAAAGTCCCACATGCCTCGTGAATCATCCCTAAACTATTTCTGGACTTAAGCGAATCCACACTCGAAGCCGAATGTCGATTTAAGAGTCAAAGGTAAATTTGCCTTGAGCGCTTTTTGGCAGTGACGTGGAAAATTGTTTTGTTTGTATAGTTTTTTTTTACCTACCTACCTATGCTGATAGCCTTGAGGCTATTTCAGCGTTGCCCTAGCGTGTAGGTGAGCTCTCGGGGCTCAAACTTGCTAGGGGCTTGCTAGGGCCAATGCTAGCAACACTCCCGGTTTGAGCCCCGTGAGATCACCTACATGTCAAGGAGAAGCTTAAATAGCCTCTCAAGGTTATCAGCATAGGTAGGAAAAAAAAAGACCTCACGGCCCACTTGGTGCTACCGGAGCCCATAGAAATCTACAACGTAAATGCCGCCACCCATCTTGAGTCATGAGTTCTAAACTCTCGGTTCAGTACAACAGCTGCCCCACCCTTCAAACCGAAATGCATTACTATCTCACGGCAGAAATAGGCGGGGTGGTGGTACCTACCTATGCGGAGTCACAAGACGTCATTCCACCACCAGTAAAATATTTATAGTTGCTAGACATATAAGTGACCTTATTAACGTACCTTAGGTTCCTGTTCGCCTTCTTCAGGCACCACGCTCAGGTCATGGAAGGCGACCGCCCGCGACGAACCGTCCACACTGGCACATTCTGGACACGCGCTGCATAACGACACGCTGTCCTGCCAAGCGACATTGTGTTTTATATACTGATATTTAGATTGGAAATCACTTATCATCATTAAACAGTTATGACGTTGCGTTTTTATTGCCTTAATAGGCAGACGAGGATACTATGTTTCATAATAGTAACCGGAAATAAATCGCGCACGGTCGTCCAGCCCCAAAATTAGGATGCACTGTGTTATGGGTATCAGAGACTGACATATCTATACCAATATATAAATCTACAGTGGTTTTTACGGATGTTCCGTTATAACGCATCCGATTGACTTCAAGGTATCCATCTAGAAAATACATGTATTTAATGGATACGCTAATATTTATATAAGTGTTGGGCTCCCTACACCGGTTGCGGGGGCGTTAATGATGAGAATCTTTGTAGGGGGTGAGAAATAATATTAATTTTCAATGCCCAGCGAAGCGGACGGGTACAGCTAGTAGCTTATGTTTCAATGTAACAAAGGTCCGAGTTAACATCTCATCTGCCAACTTGGATAATATCGGCGTCTCAAAAGTGTCTAGTCTACTTATATTTATATACGTTTTTAAACAAATACATAATACGTAGATAACAGATACCCAGACAAAGAGCAAACAAACCTCTTCATCACAAGAATGTAGGCCGATGTGGGAATCGAACCCACGATCCTTGGCGCAACAACTAGGGGCGCTAGCTACTGCACAACGGCGTCAGTGGATGGATAAATAGATGGTTATTAGTTTATTAGTAACTAGCGACCCGCCCTCGCTTCGCTTCGGAAACTGTAATTTATTATTGATTTCTACACTATTTAATGGATGTTATTATACATATAAACCTTCCTCTTCAATTACTCTATCTATTAAAAACCGCATCAAAATCCGTTGCGTAGTTTTAAAGATTTAAGCATACACAGGGACAGATATAGGGACAGAGAAAGCGACTTTGTTTTATACTACGTAGTGAAACTAGGACCACAGATGAGCCATTGCCTAAACTGCTCTGGGTGGAAAAGCCTTAGGTACTCTATGTCGTTAAAAAGTTTGTAGTCTAAGCTTAACCGTTTATTATTCTATATTTACATAATTTTCTATTAATTTCTTGTAAAAGTCATTTGTAAATGGCACTGCGTCCCGAACTATGGCGTGGTCAGTCATTTACGATTTAAAACAAGGTTTTCAATGTGTGCACCAAATCAAATTTCAATTTCAATATATTTTATACATCAAAGATTACTTTACAACTACCATCATTAAATAAATAAACCCTCATAATTCCAGGGAAAATGTTCACAGTGCTTCTATGTAATAATCCTGTATCTGGAGACGGAAGGTATATAAACCCAGAATTTTGTGGTAGGTATGCCGAGTATAATACAGAAGCAGCTTAACCGGTTCTGCAATTGTTTCATCTTGAACCTACACGGCGTAATATAGCAGAAAAACCTCTCTGGAGAATGAGTCCTGCATGTCTCCGGTTACGTTTGACCGGCTTATTATTGAATAGCTGTACCCGTCCGCTTCGCTGGGCATTTAAAATTAACATTATTATTTGTCACCCCCACAAACATTCTCATCATTAACGCCCCCGCAACTGGTGTAGGGAGTCCAACACTCATATAAATATTGGCCTATCCATTAAGTACATGTATTTTCTAGATGTATACCAAGTTTCAAGTCAATCGGATGCATGGTTCAGTAGTTATAACGGAACATCCGTAAAAACCACTGTAGATTTATACATTAGTATAGATTATAGATAGAATGGAGAGTATTCAGAGCATCAGTTAGGAGATTCAACGCTCGCTTCTCTTCCCCTCCGGAATTTGGGAGTTAATTTAGGTTTTACGTTTTAATATTTGCGTAACGCACGTCCGAGTGTTCTGGTGATGACCTTCTCTCCCTGAGCATGCTGTCCAGTCTGTCGTATTCATAACGAAGGGCCGATATCTCCCTCTTCAGCTGTTCGTTTTCACGTTTTAACTTCTTTATGTCTGACTGACCTGAAGTTGAAAGAGAAGATGCGTAAATTTTACGTTTCAGAAGACTAGAGAAGACTTTTATGGCGGTGATATTATGGCGCCCATTCGTGCCACGGAGCAGCTTTGGCTGACGGTCTGAATGTTTGCGAGGAATGTTATAGAAGTAAACTGAGATTGTGATTTTATGGTAATGCATGATACCTGAACATAGATCGATCTGGATACAAATTAATGTCAGAACGACAAAACAAGAGAAAAATCACCGGTAATTACGCAATGTAACTAATAATAAAATACTGATTCGACTGTAGCTGTCATTCTGAAAAAAATTGCTCAGAGCAACTGGTCCTTTTCCCAGAAACGATCTATGGCAACTTTTAGGACCTCACACTTGATGTTTTTTATACACTTATATTACTGGGATTTGCGCTTAGAACAGGAATTTATGAAAGTAATCTTCATCAATTGAAGACATGAGTGAGTGGATGAAGGGGATATGATACATTTTGTTAATTTTGAGAAAACGGGCTACAAACTTTTGTTACTTGTACTTTTTCTTCGTACATAATTCTTTCATCACATGCTATTTCTAAAAATAGCTTTTAAGCTCGGAATTTTAAGGTCTAATATGGTTTATAGGCACATAAGACCTTCATTCAATGTAAAAACTATCAATCTTAAAAATGGTACTTAACCCCTTCATCTATTCATGTCTTCAATTTATCAAGACGTCTTCCAATTTTCAATTATTTTGAAAATTTGGAAACGCTGATGATAATAAAAAATAATTATTACTCTTGTCTAACACCCGGACTAGAATGAGACCAGACTGAAAAAAGTACCCTTTTAATTCTTAGTTCAGGCTCTTTTTCCCCTACCTAAGCTGAGAGCCTTGAGAGGCTATATTAGCGTAACCTTAACCAGTAGGTGAGCTCACGGGGCTCAAACCTGACGACGTTGCTAGCACGAACCCTAGCAAGAGCCGTGCTTCGCAGAATCTACCACCGGATCGCTCAGTGGGCTGTGTCTGAGGGTTAATTTACTCGTCGAGCCCTTCGTCGCAAGCGACGGGTTCGACGAGAACGGTGACCGGTGCTTGAGGTACCTAAAAGCACCGTTAGTGGATCGGGAGGATCCGAAATGACGTGTTTGGGGCGACGTCGACTGCTTTCCATTCTGTCCGCAGGATCGGGAATGTAGTTACCGGCGGCCACGATGAGAGGGTTCTCGTGTCGCGCCGCTTTATCGACGTGGCGCCTTAGGGAGCGCGTGAGGTATGTGGCATTACTTCGCAGAGAGCATATTAGAAATATAGGTTTTTCTAGTCGTAGTCTAAAGCATAAGACGCCCGGTGCATATACATCGAGCAGTGCGTTTGTTCTGGGGTTTAATCTTCGTAGGTAAGTACCGTAAGTACCAATTTTTATAATGAAACGAGTAATTTAGATGACGAAGTACTAACTTCTTGTAATAAAAATCAAAGCGACAACAGTTAAAATTTGCGTAATTCGTATACAACTAAAGACATAGACCTTTAGTCGTAAGAGTGTAATCACCTAGTGATGTCTATGAGTGCCAATAGCCACTTAACACTATGAGCCTTGAGTTCAATAAAAAAAATAATTTAAGGCACAAAATAATTAAACCACATTCGCTAATTGATTAATCTTGTATTTTAGCAAACCGTAGCTCAATTAATGAACAACAAAAACAATTACTTGTGAAATTTGTCTTTGCGACTAAGAACTATTGTGCTATGCGATCTAATCTGTATTTCTTACCTCTTTCAACTTCAGCATTTATGTTTATTGTGCGTAGTCGGAGTTCTTCGTTCTCGTATAGCATGCCCCGGGACGATTTCCGGTCCAGTCTAAGACAATTAACGAAAAAAATAATCACAATGTAATTTCACTTTTGTCGCATTAAAATTTTTCTTCCAATATACGATTGCCGAAATCCGAAATAGTGGGATACCTTTGAGTTAATTATCTCGTATTATAGAAGGCCTATAATAGGAGGCCTATAATATATTTTACATTTCGAAATGTAAAATCGACATAGGTCACCTCCTTTCGCTAGGCCTGCTCCTTTCGCTAGGCCTGCTTTTTTGACGCTACTCTCGTTAGGCCCAGACGGGTAGATGAGCTTACGAGCTTAATCTGGGAGAACTTGCTACCCCTAACCCTAGCACTAGCAAGAGCAGGGATCCCAGAATCTACCAGTGGATCGGAATCGCGACCCACTAAGTTTCTCGCCGGATCTCCTCAGTGTGTCGCGTTTCCGATCCGGTGGTAGATTTTGCTAGGCACTGCTCTTGCTAGGGCGAGTGTTAGCAACACTCCCGGTTCCAGTCCCGTGAGCTCACCTATACGTCACGGAGAAGCTGATGTAGTATCTCAAAGCTATCAGCATAGGTAGGAGAAAAAAAGAGTAGATATCATAACCTGAATACCGTTACTTTGAAATCATAAGCTTCGGAAATAAAGCAGGTAGCAGTACTTATCCGAATAGTCTTCCATCCTATTGCCATTATAAAGTAGAATCTTTATTACGAGTCGGTATCTTCATTTCTGAAGATCTCATCTATTTTGAAGATGTTTCTCTGATCTTTTAATGCACAATTTTCCCACGGATCTCTATCTTCGGCAGTTCTTAATACTTCAGATATAGACATGTTGGTGAGTGATCAAAACAGCTTTGATCAAGTGATAGATCGCGAGGTCTTTTCCCGTATTAATAAGGTGGAATACAATATGTACAGTTAATGTATGGAGGGTAGAAATGTGAATTTCCGGTAGGCAGCGGCTTGGCTCTGCCCCTGGCATTGCTGAAGTCCACGGGCGACGGTAGCCACTCACCATCAGGTGGGCCGTATGCCCCTCTGCCTACAATGGCAATAAAAAAAAACAACGAAAAATCTCTGTGTTTTAAAAAGTGTCCGCTGAAAGGGAGAAATTAAGGTAGAAAGTGGTAAGATTATAAAATTCGCACCATAACCTTACTACACTTCACTTCAACCCAGCACACTTCAGTCAGTTTAAAACTGTTATATTCATATTATCATTTCCACTTTCCATACTAACGCTGTTTCTGTGAGTCTTCAAACAATAACTTGCTGTTTATCAGTGGACACTTTTTCATGTAGTCTCCTGTACAAGATGGTGCCCCTTACCTCTATTGAGATTAGGTTAATAAACAAGACTCGCTGGAACTATTTAAACGTTTTATCTTTTAACCACTTCACTAACAGCATAAAAGGTGACAAGAAGGACGGAAATACAAAGCGGTGCCATTTGGTGTTACACTATACGTAAGAGTAGAGCATACAGCCTAAAATCAATAAAATTTTATCCAATAACCTCTACTATTCTGGCAGTTAATACTCACTTCCGATTCGGTTTGACGTTGACATCCTTGCGGCGCGTACGAAGCATGCTGGCACCTGTCATCCCTGACATTTTGCTGGTGAGCCATTCACCGAACAGAATCTGGGGAACGAAATAAAGAACTTAAGTTGGTCTATCGACAAACAAGCTAGACCAGTATAAACATAAAATGAGAAAATCACACCCGCAAAATTATAATTTGCGTAATTAATGGTGGTAGGACGTCTTGTGAGTCCATACGGGTAGGTACAACCACCCTGCCTATTTCTGCCGTGAAGCAGTAATGCGTTTCGGTTTGAAGGGTGGGGCAGCCGTTTTACTGTTAAAAGTGAGACCTTACAACTCATGTCTCAATGTGGGTGGTGGGATTTACGTTGTAAATGTCTATGGCAGTGATTCTCAACCTTTTTTTTGTTGCGGCACATATTTAACGATTTCAAAATTTGGCGGCACACAAAAAAAAAGATAAACATTATTTACTTACTACAACACACTGCATAAATAGTTTATCAAAAAATTTTAATATACGAAATAAACTAAAATATACTATAATTTTTTTTTGTGGATTTAAATATATATTCATGTTTAAAATATTTTTCTTTTAAAATGATATAATTTAATAATATTAACATTATTATATATTCGCAAAATTTGGCGGCACACTTTTGAAATTTGGCGGCACACAAAAGTGCCGCGGAACAGTGGTTGAGAATCACTGGTCTATGGGCTCCGGTAACCACTTCATCATTTAGACCGTGAGCTCGTCCACCCATATAAGCAATAAATAAAAAGCTGCATTTTTGTCAGGTCGGTTAAAATAAACAATAATTTACATGAATTAACACGGCGCGGCGTAGACTAGGAATTTTATAATTGCATTTATAAAATTATAAAATTATTATATATAATTTTTTTTTTACTACGCATTCATACGATTATTACTAACTAATACTTTGAGAAAAAAATATATAATTAAATACACAATAATATCCTTAACAGTTCTATTTCGATAGATTTCACTATAAAGTGTTGTTTACAATTGATCTTCCAATGTCATTGGCCTTTTCACAATAGACGAATGCATATAATTTAACAAGAAGATTCATAGCTGCAAAGAGACATTCTTTTTTCCACGTCCTTACGGATCCATCAGATCCAATAACCTTTGCATTAGATGCCTTCAGCTCTAATACTAGGGGCAGGCTTAGGGACCCCGGTAACCGTACTCGTCGAACTCGACAAAGAGGTCGACGTGCAACCTAACCCATGCATCAGCCCGCTGAGTTTCTCGCCGGATCTTCTCAGCGGGTCGCGATTCCGATCCGGTAGTAGATTCATTCGCGAAACAATTGCTCTTGAGTTGTTAGGTCTCCTTCGGAGGCGCTCGGGCAGTTGTTAGCAAATCCCACCCCTCTTGGCTGAGCCTTTGCTCGCCCACCTGTCCTGGTGAAACTGGAAAGGCCTTCGGGCCACCAGTACACTATGAATCATAAAAAAAAAAAAAAAAAAAAACATTCTTTAAGAAATATTAGTCAGTACATAGTTTCTTTAGCGTGCGCAACTTCAAATACATTAATAGTAGCAGTCATAGAATAATTTATCTATGACCTTTTGTGACACGAAAACTAAGTTCGTGAAGAATTGTTGAATATAGTGAAATAAATCAACTAGTATTTCACCGCTAAAAGCGCCTACCTTTTTATGTTATCAATAGTCCCCGACGAGTAGAATCAAATGCCTCGAAAATTACTTTGCTATTATAATTTTGTCAGGAGTTTTTTTCACTTAACCTCTTGATTAAAATTTTGTGTTTTTTGTTATGCTTTTCTCAGGCTTTATTTAATTAGAATCGAATGAAGACCGCCTAGTGAGTTCAGTAGAGTGAACTCAAGTGGCACTTGGAAGCGTTCATGCGCAATGGGTCTGCTGATTTAGCGGAAATATAGGCCTGTCTAAAGCCCGTCTTATATGGTACATACATACCTACATATCTGTCATGATGGTAAACTATATAATCGTTGTATTTTTTCAATATAATTTATTTGTTCTTTTTTTTTATATGCTTAGATGTGTGGACGAGCTCACAGCCCACCTGGTGTTAAGTGGTTACTGGAGCCCATAGACATCTACAACGTAAATGCGCCACACATCTTGAGATATAGTTCTAAGGTCTCAAGTATAGTTACAACGGCTGCCCCACCCTTCAAACCGAAACGCATTACTGCTTCACGGCAGAAATAGGCGGGGTGGTGGTACCTACCCGTGCCGACTCACAAGAGGTCCTACCACCAGTACTAAATACTAATTTTACTACTAATTTTGATAATTGAAAGTCCGGGTATTAGAGGTAGCATGGGTTACATTTTGTCTATACTTGTATGATACTTAGACACTCCACAAAATATCGAATTAAATCTATATATTTATAAAAGTCGACGTATGTACATTCCAAATGGTGCTATCGATTTCTATACAATTTTCAGGAAATTTTCGGATTAAACTAGCGGCTGATCCTGTCGAATTTGGTACAGATCGGATGACAGTTAAATCAAAGATCTAAGACCATACGATATCTGTCAACAGCTTCAAACCGCTTTTTCTTCAATATTTGAATCGAGAATTACGTAGGTACTACCTAAAACCTAAAGATCTGTACAATTTTTTTCGGCGTTCGAAAAATGTATAAAATCATTGAACGATGTTTATGTTTACATAAAACAAAATAAATTACCGCTGTACTTAACCGGAGGTGATGCTAACACTGGCCCTAGCGAGAGCAGTGCCTCGCCGAATCTACCACCGGATGGGAAACGTGACCCACTGAGAAGATCCGGCGAGAAACTCAGTGGGCTGTGTCTATGGGTTAATTTACTCGTCAAGCCTTTCATCAGTTTTAATTACATTTCATAAGCATATCACCTAATATTCGTATGGTTATGTGTGGTATCGGTACAGCATAGCATCACCCTAACTCCTCCCGTGTAAGTCGAAAAAGGTGACTTGGGGTGACTGGAGAATGGACAGCAGCGTTCTTGAATATTATACTGAGGTAATGCGATCGACAGTTGGTGTATTACTTATGGTGGGATGGATGAATGGTCTCAGGATCCGCCTCAACTTCATTGGCCTATTTTTCGGGCTGGGGACCGAATCTCCGCGGCCCACGTACATAAGCGTGCGCCCAAGGTAAGTGGAACTCGGTAAACGAACAAAGTAAAGACCGGACCGGAGTAGGTAGAGGCTCACTAAGCGGCTCCCGTTAATTCTCTCCCGACGGTCGATCCTCACTCTGGACCAAACCCAGGCGAGTTAGGGCGGTTACCGCGGTCCACACTACATCCAGATTCGTATATCGTTGACGTGACTTCCAGACAAAATCGGGGCGAAGATACCTTCTGACCAATTAGAATGAATTCAAAAATATTACGAATTTAGTTCAAATGATTTAATAATCTACTGCCTGTCATAATTCGTTTAGCATCTTTATTCAGAATCATTTTTACTTATTTACTTTTTCTTTGACATAATAAAAAACAATACGTTAACTCAGTGATTGAATTTATTTACACGCTAGAGTTGGAATAGCGTTTTAAACCAATAAAGGTTTGAGGGTGCATATGTAAATGGCATTTATAGATATAAGACCAGATACTGTTAAGAATGAGAGGTGAAATAGTACGCGAGAATACATAATCTAGTTTTTGTTAAGTGTTAATTAAAAAGTGTCAAAATAATATTTCCTTTAGTTTTTGTGAATCCTAGAAATAGTTAATTAGTACGATAATATGAGTATACTATTCCCGATGTTTCGAATGTGTGGAATACTCTCGATAATTCTAGGGATGTGGTATCGGCTATAAAAGCGTTGCAGAGATGGCACGCAGTCCCCGGTCACCGTCCTCGTCGAACCCGTCGCTTGCGACGAAGGGCTCGACGAGTAAATGAACCCTCAGACACAGCCCACTGAGTTTCTCGCGGGATCTTCATAGTGGGTCGCGTTTCCGATCCGTTGGCAGATTCTGCGAAGCACGGCTCGTGCTAGGGTTCGTGTTAGCAACGTCGTCAGGTATGAGCCCCGTGAGCTCACCTACTAGTTAAGGTTACGCTGATGTAGCCTCTCAAGCCTCTCAGCTTAGGTAGGAAAAAAAAAACACGCAGTCAGTTAGTAATCGGAACTACTCGAAGCGAAACAGCGAACGGATCACTTGAAGCGAAGCGGAAGAAGCGAATTGAGAATTTTAAAGTGTTTGTGAAGTGTTCTAAGTGTTGAATACAGTTTTTAGTTGTACTTTGGTGGGATTTTATTTATTCCGAACCGTAGCGCGTAGCAATAATAATAATAGTAATAAAAAAATTAATTCATATCAATTGCAATTCACAATGCGTGGTTACCCGAATCTACGTCATCGCTGGTCATTGCAAAAGGGATGCCTTATGTCAGTCTCATTGGCGGTCTGCAACCGTCTTCGTGTTACCGAGAACCTATTGTGGGTTCGCGCAAGAAGAAGCAATTCTGCTTAAGTACCGCGAAGCAACCGTACGAAGCAAGTGTAACAGTTAGTGGATTATCTTCCGTCTATAGGTTTTGGTGCTCTGGTGGTTACTACCGTAAAAGCCGTGAACTCCACGCGTTACTGGAAACACCAATCAATTAATTAATCAATCAGTCAAATCAATCAATCAAAAATTTTTATTCAACATAAATGAAAGTACATACTTGCTGAACGTCAAATAAAACTACCGCCAATTCACAAAAACTAGCCTCCGTCCTGAGAAGAACTTACAAGAAACTCAGCGGGCACCTCTTTTTTTTTAAATTTTTTTTTTTTTTTTGTAATATTATATATTTTTTTCACGAATTCCGAAACATCCCAAAAGTGAGGCCGGAATCTATTTTTAAACTTCGATTAGACGGTTGATTGTAAGCTAAGTATTGCGATAGAGAATTTCGTATTTCAATCGAAGTTATACGCGTAACGGATGTTCGGTAATGGATTTGGCAGTGTTTATTAAGACTGGACTTCTCGTTGGGAAATTCGGTAGCTTCCGGCAAAGGGTAAGTCGTATTCTATCCAGAGTGATCCACTTTTCTTTCTTTTTTTGTAATTTCATGTATCTTACTGTGGTCGTCTAGAAAATGATTCTTAAGGTGTTGCTTTTGCGATCGAATAATATTTACAATCAATTTTCATATTTGTATTAGTAATAGTTGTAGGTATTCGTTCTGTCACTAGTGTCTTTGACAGTTGCTTCCCTTGACGGTAAGCGTACTCGTCGAACTCGGCAAAGAGTTCGATGTGCAACCTAACTCAAACATCAGCTGAGTTTCTCGCCGGATCTCAGCGGGTCGCCGAATCCGATCTGGAAGTAGATTCATAAAGTATTTTCTCCGGATTTGGTGAGTTCTAGATAAAATCAAAAAAACTTTTACGTTTTAAAGCTAGAGTTTTTTTATTATCATTACATTATTTCCGAAGTTTTGAATACTTTAAGTTTTTCTTGGTCCCGGACGACTAAGGTTTTGTTCGTTGCTATTTAATAGTCATAAATAATATAATGACAAAAAAGTGACAATATTAAAACGTAAAATTAATTTTAATTAGTCTTATTGAAATTGATAGCACTATGTTAATTATTATACGTAGTGTAATGATGTATTTAATAGTGATGAGCAAAATTGATCCTAAGGAATAGCAATACCAAGACAAGAAGTAAGTAGGTATATGCATGACTAAACGACAGAGGAGATTCTTAGATCCAAAATATTTATGAGTTAAAATAGCGTCAACACATGCTTTTAGTGGATCAAAATATTCATGGTTTTTTGTATTGTTAGTTTTCTTTGTAAAATTTTAATAGTAAGTATAAAAAAAAAAAGAAATAACCACTGTTTGAAAATAAAAAGGATCTATAAGAATAATTTTTGTTATAGCGACAGGAAAACGCATGGTTGAAGACTTCAAGTTGGGTGGCGGTGTTTACGTTGTTACAATTACAATTGGCTCCGGTGATCACTTAATACTAAGTGATCCGTGAGATCGTCCACCTAACTAAGCAATAAAAAAACATGTGTGCAATTCACACGTGGTAGAAGTGAAACCTTCCAAAATTAAAATATAATTATCCTAAACGTCTTAAGTATATGTAAAATTTTGTCATTAGTAAATAATTGTAAGGTAGCGCCCTCTGTGAATTGATATTTTAATTTCACGTATAAGCCTAAATTAAAATTCACTAGAAGAGCTTTCATACACACGTTAGTATTAAAAAATCTCACAGATGGCGCTGTATTAAATAGTATGTATATTTCTGTCTCATTCTTTGCTGGCTTCATCTTACACATTTTTGTATTTGTGTCTCTTACCTGTCGTTTTTTCCGTTGCATCCGGTTTGAAATCACAACGATTCTAAAGAAGTTTTCACTTCAAAAAAACTTAAGAAACACTAGCGTTTATTTTAGAGCCGAATGGTTTCTGGGTAAATTAGTGATGAGCAAAATTTACTTTGGTCTTGCTTTGTTCATCACTATGAACTAAGTTTAATTGCATATACAAACACATTACAGTATTGAATCGTGTTCTAATAAACCTGTTTCATTTGCAACTTGGACTTATTATAATAACATAAAACTAGAGGTCCCGCAGTAGTCGAAATTCGACTGTAATTAATTGGAATTTTAAGTTTGTACACTATTATAGTATTTTATACTTCTATAATCACAAATTTCGCCAAGACTACACTATAAAAAATATTAACAAAGACAAACAATATTTAATCTAAATTTGACAACAGACGTCAAGAAAAAAAGTTTGACAATAAATAGTATGCATGCGTGTGTGCGTGAAATACATGGTATGTAGTGTGTGTAATGTTTTCTTTATTGATTTAATGTATCTTTTATGCATTATTTTTAAAAAATATTAGCATTGTGCACTTCTTCTCTATATTCTCTATAAGTGTGGAAAGTTTCATAGTCCTCCGTCCGCGCAAATTTCGTAAAAAGGGATACAAAGTTTTTGCTTCACGTATTAATATAACATAAAATTAGTACATATTATAGTATTTGACATTATGTCATCGATTTTAAGACTGCCGTATAACATTTGTAGTGAAACGCTATCACTACCATAATTCCTACCCAACCTCTACTAAAGCGCACTGTCGTTCGAAAATAATACAACTAAATCGTTTAGTACGTAATACATCTCTCGTTACGTATGAAGATGCATTCGATTTGTGGCAATTCAAAACGCATTGAATTGAGTCGTGATGAAACTGTGGAGAAAGTCAAAACTCTTTTAGTAAAGCGGATTAGGCGACGATGCTTGTCGAGAGGGGAGCCACGCGGCGAGCGAATAGGACAGCGATATATCTTTTCCACAAAGATTTGAAATGTAGAAGGGTTTTTTTGAAATAATGACCTAATTAAGTGTCACCAAAAAATAGTTCATGTCTAATTTTGAACACATCTGCCTATATTTAACGTATGTCAATGTTTAGGATTTAAAACTTTTTAATAGTACTTTTTTTTCAGTTGATATAGACAGTCTCCTGTGAGCACGAAAACCTTTACAGTTTTCGATTAAAATAAAATGAGAATAGTAAACTCGACATTATAAGTTCTCTCCTTTCATTTTTTTATTTATGTCTTCTACTCGTGCAAAGCAAAGTACGAAAATTCTCAGGGCAGAAAAGTTTTATTGATGAAGCTGTAAGCTGATTTTGGTTAGAGAAAATTACGTTTTTACTGAAGAAAGCAAAAAATGCTGATCACATCCAAAAATATTCTGCGCAATTTTAAAATAAATTAAAAGAGTAGATATTTAAGTAAAAGAAACATTCAGATTTAAAAAAAGGCATGTAATTCCTACTCTGTAGAAGTGGAATCTTCAAAAATATTCTGTCTCTTTCTCTCTAGTCCATAAATATCTCTGCGAGTATCATTTTCGTTTTATCAAGGCTTAAATCATAATTAAAGGGTTTTCATTTCATATTTCAAAGTAGCGCTCTCAGACAAAAAATAATGTAGGCAATAAGAACTAATAGTGAAGTGAGCGTCACATCTGCGCGATAACGACCACACCCAGCGGTAGCGAGAGCGAGTGCCGCAGCGGACGCACGCGCGGGGCGGGGGCGACTTGCCTCGTCAGTCCCGCGCCGTTCGTCGCTGACAGCACCCGCTACCCGCTCACAATGAAAACTAAACCTAAAGGCGCCCGTGCCAAAAACATGGATAAGCTCATTGAAGCCGTCCAAGCTAGGGAGTGCCTTTGGGATAAGAGTTACAGAGGCCACAGGAACCGATTCAAGCTGGAGCGTTATTGGAATGAGGTGGCGGCTGAGGTGGGCACGTCAAGTGAGTAGCGTTTTTACTTAACCGCTTGCTCTCGCTCGGCTCGATGAAGTTCAACAGCCTTGGGTCGGAGCGCGCGCTGTTTGTAATTTTTAAATTCATATCCAACCACGGATAGACATACTATAATTTATACATACATACAGACATACATAATTTAAATATGCAACAAAAGTAAAAAATTCATTTATCGAAAATTAGTGGTCCAGCAGTTGTCGAAATTCGACTTTAATCAATTGAAATTTTATGTTTAAACATTATTATGGTTCTGTTGTCAAATACTATTATACTTATATTAGCGACCCGCCCTCGCTTCGTTTCGGAAACTGTAATTTATTATTGATTTCTCCGCTATTTAATGGATGTTATTATACACATAAACCTTCCTCTTCAATCACTCTATCTATTAAAAAAAACCGCATCAAAATCCGTTACGTAGTTTTAAATATTTAAGCATACATAGGGACAGACAAATATAGGGACAGAGAAAGCGACTTTGTTTTATACTATGTAGTGATAATATAATCACAGATTTCGCCAAAACTACACTATGCCTACATAAATAATAATAAAGACAAACAATATTCATCTATTCTCAATTTGACCACAGGCTTTAAACACTAACAAAAGTTTGACAATTGACAATAAACAAAGAGTATATGTGTGTGTCAAATACATGATAGTGTGTGTAATGTTTTCTTTATTGATTTAATGTATCTTTTATGCATTATTTAAAAAAAATAGCATTGTACACTTCTCTATATTCTCTATATTGGGAAATTTCATACTCCTCCGTCCGCGCAATTTTCGTAAAAAGGGATACAAAGTTTTCCCTTCACGTATTAATATATAGATGTCAGTTTACTAATGCAAGAAGTCAAAATTAATTCGTAATTAAAACAAAAACTACTTTTTAATTTTGTTAACGCATTATAATTTTTTTTGTGTTAAAAACTGCGTACTTTGTGATACAAAGTAAACAGTACCACAATATAAATACGAACCCAAATGTTGCTTAGAGCCTGGAGGGTTAACTTAATACCGAGATATAGGAACGGTAATTCAATGCTGAGTACATAAATTACGGTCTTACGGATATTTTGTAACACAGATACCTATATTTACACTGTATTGTATTTTTCAATGCAGTTTCAAATGCTAAAGAAAGAGAGAAAACAAGCTCAAGTGTCTTTTGTCTCTTTTGTTATTTTTGTATTCCGTATTTTTTGATTATTTTTAAAGGAGATTGTTAACGAGCTTCGATCAATAGTAGTATTATTGATCGAAGTTAACGAGACATTGTTAACGCTACTGTCTTTACCTACTGAATTTTTCGCCGGATTTTCACAGTGTGTCGCGATTCGGGTCCGGTGGTGGATTCAGCGAATCACTACTTTTTTATGTTTGAGAACTTCGATCAACAGTTACTATTGTTGATCGAAGTTTGAGAACCACTGCTCTTGTTGAGGCTAGTGATAGCACACTCTTAGGTTGAGCTCGTGATCTCGCCTACGTGCTGTAGCGTGGCTAGCATAGCCCTTTAGGCTACCAGGGAATAGCTATTGTCTCGGTTTTGTATTGCTGTATGTTGTTACGTAATATTTTACTATTTAGGTAAAGGAAAAATGAGTGCACAATTAGAATACAATTGATTCTCCAAATGTACATTACATACAAATGTAAATTGCTTTCAATTGTTATCAGTTAACGACTAAACATCAACTGGTCATCTATTAAAACCCAAAAGGCCCATTTCTACAAACGTGTATTTCAACAATAATTGATTTCAACAAACTATTTGGATTATAAGTGTTAATTTGATTGGAGAGAGAATGCTCTCTCTTCCTTTCCTACAAAGAGACCATGTTGGTGTAAAAATTACATTGCGCTTTTCAATTGATCGCATATCTGGTTTAATTTGTAAATCATACACCAAAAAATTGAGTCTTTATTTACAATATTAATTATATTGTTTGTTTTATTAATTTTTCAATATACTGTGTTTTTTTTTATTGCTTATATGGGTGAACGAACTCACAGCCCACCTGGTGTAACTGGTAACTGGAGCCCATACACCTCTACAACGTAAATGCGCCACCCACCTTGAGTTCTAAGGTCTCAAGTATAGTTATAACAGCTGCCCCATCCTTCAAACCGAAACGCATTAGTCCTTCATGGCAGAAATAGGCAGGGTGGTGGTACCTACCCGCGCGGACTCACAAGAGGTCCTACCAGTAAATACCTACCAGTAAATATATTAAATATACCTAATATTTAATACCGATAAAGTATTCAACTGTTCTCGTACCTGCTATACAATCAAACTATGCGTTTTCAAACAAGCTTTAATGCTAGTTGCTAATCTGACGCTCAACGTGTTATCCGAAACAGAAAAACTGATCCATGACAATATTATCTATCGCATCATAACCCTAATTCCAGGTTTGAACTGTCGCAAGCGCTGGAAGAATCTCAAAGACCAATGCCGGAAAGAAATGAAGAAGGGACCTGGGGAATCGGAGTGGCCGCATTTTCAGAAACTGAAATTTATTCACCACCAATTCCTGGCTGAAGAGGAGGAGGGCGATGAAGATACCGCCGACGAGGTGTTCAATTCTCTTGACGAGTCCATGAAGAGACCGAAACTAGGATACACGATGAGAAAGAAATTATTGATGAATAAGAGAAGAACGATAGACGTGGACATGAATAAGCTGATTGAATTGGTCCAGGCCAGAGAAATAATATGGAACAGGCAGTTAAAGGGACACCATAACTGGTATAAGCTGGACGAGTGCTGGAAGGAGGTTTCACAGCAGCTGGAAGTGACGCGTGAGTTCTTATTGTATGTCTATTAAATATTGAGAATCATTTAGAACCGATTAGGTATTTTTTGACGTGACAACGTCTTATAATTCGACGGAGCCGGCTGCACGCACGAAAAAACATGACTCATGGGGCGTTACCTCGCTCTGAGGCGTTCCATTTAAGGCTTGAAGTGCAAGCGAGAGCGCCCAACGAGCGACAAAGAGGCACAATCGGCCTCCGCGTTCGGCAGCGTTCGACCTCTGTCTCTCTTGAGTGAGCGATGCATCCGCGTGTACAGCTGCTATACAATAATACATTTACATGTTTTCGTCAAGCATGAAGTTCAGTGAAACATGAATATGGTGTCAATTGTCCATACAAAATATCTATCAAACAAACAAATTAAAATTATCTTTTGAAAAATGAAACCACTCCATCAGTATTTTCTTATGACGTTGTCACGTTCAACTATCGTCAGTAAACCGACATTACAGACAACCGATTTTTTTTATATAAAAAAGCATGATTTAAATGTATAATCCAAATACGTTGTTTGTTAAAAATTCCAGGTGATGAAGCTAGATTAAAGTGGAAATACCTTCGAGATCAGGCCAGGAAGGAAGTCCGAAAACAAGACTCAGAGTGGGAATTCCTCCCGAAACTTCAATTCTTGACCAACCAGTTCAATGACTATGAAGGCAACGAGATCCCCGAAGATCATTTCAATGACTCCCACGATTATGAGCCTGATCCAGGGACTAGTTACTACAACATTGAACCACCACCGGAGACAGCTCCTGATGTGAGCGTCAAGGAAGATGATTTTGATGAATTCGACACGAAGCCTGTAATAATGGAGGCGGATTTCTACGATGATGACGACGAAGCCCAGAAAAGCACAACAGGAGGAGAGCCACGCGAACCAGCCAAAGATGAGGATATAGGATTTTTCAATAGCTTATTACCGCACGTCAAAAAACTAGGACCAGCAAAAAAGTTAATGCTGAGAATGAAGATTCAGGAACTAGTCTATAATACTGTTTACAATGAACCATAGCTTTTATGGATGACTTAGAAGAAATGAAATTTGATCCATCAGCTATGATTGTAATTTGTTTAGGTCGAGAGCGTTTGGGTAAATTCGGTGGAAATGTCGAGACAAGAAACTTATGGCTGACTTTGGAAATCTTGTTTTTATTATAAGTTTTTTTTTTTTTTTTTTATTGCTTAGCTGTGTGGACGAGCTCACAGCCCACCCGATGTTAAGTGGTTACTGGAGCCCATAGACATCTACAACGTAAATGCGCCACACACCTTGAGATATAGTTCTATCAGTATAGTCACAACGGCTGCCCCACCCTTCAAACCGAAACGCATTACTGCTTCACGGTAGAAATAGGCGGGGCGGTGGTACCTACCCGTGCGGACTCACAAGAGGTCCAACCACCAGTAATTACGCAAATTATAATTTTGCGGGTTTCATTTTTATTACACGATGTTATTCCTTCACTGTGGAAGTCAATCGTGAACATTTGTTGAGTACGTATTTCATTAGAAAAATTGGTACCCGCCTGCGGGATTCGAACACCGGTGCATCGCTTAAACACGAATGCACCGGACGTCTTATCCGTTAGGCCACGACGACTTCAAGTAGAATATTCGTTGTACCACTTTTAATACTTTTTTAACTAAACCTGTACTTTATACACAAGTATTAGAAGCTTCAGCAGATCACTTTCACTAAAATTACTAAAGAAGCTTCAATACGACAGACATAATATTTCTATATTCTTGATATGTTGTTAATATTATTCATGACATTTGTTCATGAGTAAGTTCCTTTATGAGATTTAATTTGATATCCTTTGAACAATTAAGATGACTTGGTTCTGTTTTGTATACGCGTATTCTAAATTGCGCCTTAAGTGGTTGAGCTTAAGGTCAGTTTTTTATTAAATAAAACAATCCGTTATTTTCATACAACACTGTTCATCCAATAACCGAAATTCGTCCATAATCACTGACACGACAAGGTATATTTTATGTATTATACATTCATTCAACCGGCAGGCAGCGGCTTGGCCCTGTCCCTGGCATTGCTGACGTCCATGAGCGACGGTAACCACTTATCATCAGGTGGGCTGTATGCTCGTCTGCCTGCTCGTGCTGTAAAAAAGAAATTCTGATATTTCCAAAAAAAAACTGTCAATTTCGTAAAAATTAAAAATAAAAACCGTTATTCATTGATAACAATTTTAGAATAAAGAGTCTACAAATACCTACCATGTTTTTTTAAAATTTAATTTCAACAAATCCTCGCTCAAGTAAATTGATGTCTATAAACTTTCATTCGACTTAATGATAAGTTTAAAATGGGTTGTGGCCACCGTTCGCCTTTTCTGTATTAGAAATTTCTAGCGGTTTCGAGTAATTGCTTCACAGTTATGGTTCCAGCTACTAGAAAAACTATTAAGGTATTTTTTCTTGGTTGTTTCTGAATTATTTGGTGTTCAATTGGTCAACCATTTTCACATCAGCGCCTTCTAAGCACTGGATCCACCACTAAGCGATGTCTATGCGACCAGTTAGCGGCACCCAAATACTAAATGAAAGTACATCTATATTAATATACTAGCGACCCGCCCTCGCTTCGCTTCGGAAACATTAAAACACACATGAAATAAAAAAAAAAAATAAAAAAAAAAAAAAAGTAGCCTATGTTCATCAGGGACAATGTCGGCTTCTAATGGAAAAATAATTTTTCAAATCGGTCCAGTAGTTTCGGAGCCTATTCGAAACAAACAAACAAACAAATCTTTCCTCTTTATAATATTAGTATAGATAGGTATAAATCTACAGTAGTTTTTACGGATGTTTTGTTATAACTACTGAAGCATGCATCCGATTGACTTGAAACTTGGTATCCATGTAGAAAATACATGTACTTAATGGATAGGCTAATATATATATATGAGTGTTGGACTCCCTACATTAGTTGCGGGGGCGTTAATGAGAATCTTCACTGGGGCCCAGCGAAGCGAACGGGTACAACTAGTATGTACATATATCCTGATGACGACTCATCTACGTAACAACTATTTGTCGAAAGTATTAAAAATATGTAACCTCTATATGATTTATAACCTCAATCTTAAAAGAGATTATGATAAGTTATACAGGTGACATAGATGGTATTTTGAATTTTGAAACATGAGAAGAAGAAACATTAGAAATATTGAAACATTTTGAATATTTTAAGATACGAAACATAACAACTGGTGAAGCAATAGCTTCAAATGTTGTTTCTCTTTATAGAGCAACTCAGATTGTGCTATAGTTTTACTGGGGTAAACTTTATTTTAATGTGAATAAAATAATATATTATAAAATAACATTTAAAGTTATTGCTTCACCAGTTCTTACGTTTCATATCTTACAAATATCCAAAATGCTTCAATATTTCATTCAGAGCTAATGATTAGTGGAGGTGAAGTAGGTTGGGAATTATGTTTACAAACTTATACCTTTAAACGAGCAATTCTTGTATATTAATATATATGTATATGATCTGAATCTCGTAAACGGCTCCAACGATTTTCATAAAATTTGGTATACAGGGGATTTCGGGGGCGATAAATCGATCTAGCTACGATTTATTTTCAGAAAATGTTGTTCTATTCGTGTTTTCAATAATCAACTCCTCCCGACATCTATTGGCGAATAATAATACTATTTTTCTTAATTGAGGGCAACTAACCGCTTTAAAGACGCAACAAGATGGCGTTATCAAAAATCGTCTAGTATTCGATTAATCAAGACAACTTCAGTATTGGGACGCGAATGATTAGTTGCCCGTTAAAGTTATATCTTCTAGCAGATTCGTAGTTACATATATAGGACATATTTTACGTGATTTAAGTAGCCAAACGTGACCTAGTTACTGTTTTGAGTGCTGCACACCACACGACGTCTTGTTATTGAGAGTTTCTGTTTGTTTACAAAACTTGGTATGTCAGGACTTGTGATGTTATTGTGGTACGTACGCCATGAGTTGCTTCGTACTGTTTATTCGATTTACACAATTTTAGTGTTGAATGATGTCGAACTGGAATGCGTCATTGCTTCGTATTGAATACACGAGTTGTAGATTTGTAGTTGTTTTTTTTTCTACCTAAGCTGAGAGCCTTGAGAGGCTATATCAGCATAACCTTAACTAACAGGTGAGCTCACGGGGCTCAAACCTGACGACGTTGCTAACACGAACCCTAGCAAGAGCCGTGCTTCGCAGAATCTACCACCGGATCGGAAACGCGACCCACTGAGAAGTTCCGGCAAGAAACTCAGTGGGCTGTGTATGAGGGTTAATTTACTCGTCGAGCCCTTCGTCGCAAGCGACGGGTTCGAATAAGAAACTAATAACAAGCCATCTAGTAGCCGACGCCCGTAAACAGAATGTGTGTAAGAGAAACGACATAGCTCGCTTTCTCCGTCACTCCAAGGTCGAGTGGTTCACGAGACGCTCTGTCTGTTTTCTCACTCTCGCTCGTCCTAAATTGTATCTTTTCTCTCTAGCCGTAACGAATTTGTCGCCAGTTAAATTTTACTTTAGACGCGTCTAATTAAAAAAAATCTTTTTCGAAGGACATTTACTATGCACAAATCTATTAGAATAAAGCGCGTTCTTCCCTTGGCAAACGAAGATGGTCGATGAGAAACAAATGTTTTCGGCATGCTAGCTTATTTAATACAAATCTATGTTTGTAATGTGAATACGTTGGTTGAGAGTGACAGGTGATGTAAAACGGAGTGATGTTCTATTAGTTCGCGAGATACGTTTAATGTGTTGTTAGGTATCTTAGCGATAGATTTAAGAGTCATAGAACGTTTCCATTGACTAACGATGACTGACACGAGACATACACTTATGGGTTCGAATAGAATTCTGCGGTCGAGTGTGTAATTTACTTGCACGCCACCTCTAGTATATTAATTGTACTGTGCCGAAAAGTTCTCTTATTTTCGCGAACACTATAAAAAGAGTCGAGCTTTGTCTGAATTCATTTCTCAATGGGTCGCGTTTCCGATCCGGTGGTAGATTCTGCGATGCACGGCTCGTGCTAGGGTTCGTGTTAGCAACATCGTCAGGTTTGAACACCGTGAGCTCACCTACTATTAAGGTTACGCTGATATGGTCTTCTTTAAGACTATCAGCTTAGATAGGATAAAAAAAAACTGAATTCAATTTCTTATTACTTTGCAATGAAAATATACAGAAAATAAAATGTGATATTTTGTATTTTTGTTTCATATTTGAATAATCTAAATTTTATTGTAAATATTTATAATAATGTAACTGTAGAACCACTTAACTAGTAAACTGTAACCAATAACTTATTAATTAAAACAAGCACTAAAATATGAAATAGTCCCTCCCTAGGGAGATACAAACCAAGGAGGGTTGACAGGCACCAAGCCGGTCATAAAATGCTACCCTACGCAGCACGATAAGAGGACATGTTGTGCCGACCCTTATAATGTGGGATAAGGGCCAAAAAAAGGTCTGATTTCAATTCCTGTTCGAACTCTATACTTTTGTCAGAGATATCGGGCATTGGGACACAGGATAAACTTGTTTTGATTTCGAATCGTTATCACGTTGTATTTTATTTTCTACTCGCTTTGCTTCGGAAACATTAAAACACACATGAAACCAAAACAAAAAAGAAAAAAAAAAAGAAAAAAAAGTAGCCTATGTTCATCAGGGACAATGTCGGCTTCTAATGGAAAAAGAATTTTTCAAATCGGTCCAGTAGTTTCGGAGCCTATTCGAAACAAACAAACAAACAAATCTTTCCTCTTTATAATATTAAGTATAGACTAGCGACCCGCCCTCGCTTCGCTTCGGCAACCGCAGTTTATTAATGATCTTATTGAATTTTCTTTTATACAAACCTGGCAGTAACAAACAATAAAAAAAAAACGTAACAAAACAAAAAATCTAATCTTTCCTCTTCATAGTTCACTATTTTAGCGATAATTACTTCACATAATAGATAGAGCTTCGATTCTGTCGCAGACTTTTTTGTGGGACTATGTAAAATAAATATTTCCATTATATAGCTGAGTCCCGCGATGTTACCCGCCGTTATTGTCGTACCGCGGGTGAAGTCGTGGCGCGAAACTGGTTAAAAAAAAGTAC